AGGAACCCCTCAAGGGTCACCATCTCGTCGTTCCAACCACTACTAGGTCCTTCCCGTCCTCGGTCGCGGTTCTCGTAGCTCCCTTCGAGCTCCAGCCTGCTCCTAGCACGCTACAACATAAACCCCCACATACCAAAACCTACCCTAAGACCTATTTTGACCCAGGTCTTACAGTTACAAGGCATTGTGAGTTCGAGTGTATTAATTGAATGGTTGATACTTATAAGTCTAATAGGAAGCATCGTCAAGACATTATTCACAATTTGAGTACAAGCAGTAGCGGTGCTAGTAGGATAACAATGGTTCAAAAAATACTTTCATTGTTGGTTGAATCAGGTTCTATCTACATCAGCTTCTGGGTCAGTCCTTTTCAAACCTTGTTCTTTAACTCTTCCACTATAACCTGCTTCATTCATTATCCATTCAGATTGCTGCAACATTTTTAACTGGCTTTGCTGATAGCTCCAAGTTATCTTTCCAAGTTTTCATAGCATCAGCTCTCCCATTTCTCTCAGTGAGCTATAATAATCACTAAATTCATAAGAATTTGCTTATTGTCCAATACAGGGACTATATCCAGTGCTTATCATCCTTTTGGTGGCTTTAGAAAATACGAAGGACAGGTCAAATGAAGCTGACCTGTCCTTGTCTCAGTCCATTCACTTTGCAACACGTGTGCATCTTTCTGCTGCTGCAGAAACTGTTTCTACTACCCCAGAGGCCGAATCTCCTGGGGACAGTGTCGAAAATCCAAGGATATATAATCAACCAAAAGAATATGTTTGAAATAAATAATCCTAGATCCAGTCTTCGCACGAGTGTACAGTATTTATTTGTGATATCCCTTGTTAATCATTGTTCAATATTTTATCATTTCTTGACATTACTTTTGAGTATTCCTTGACATGTACTATATTTAACAGATCACTATCCTCCCAATTACATCCTCTCAGACTCATCTAAGGTCATCCACCACTAAGTCAAGAGGAAAAATGAATCAAGAATAATTTTCAGAATGAAAGTATTGTCAATTTACCTTGACCAATTCATCCATCCCATCTTCCACAGAAACCTGCGGATTATAACCGAGTACCTTCTTTGCCTTACTAATGTTGTGCCATCGGGCAGCGCAGCTGAACGTGATAGTGAAGCGAGTCATTGAGGGTTTTCGTCCTCGGATCCAAGCTTCAAACTCGAAAATCACACCTAGACACATCCCAAGCCATCGAGGTATAACTCGAACTGTTCTCTTCTGACGTTTCCCCGAAAACCATGCATCCAACCGACTCCATATACCATTCGTAAAGTCCCAGAAATACCAAGGTTCGTCATTGGTAATGGAGAAAATCTCACCAGCAACTGGTGCATCGGGAGATATAGGTGTGCTGAGGCGGTCAGCAGCAAGAATGTGCGCATCGGCAACATTTGCTACTGCTGTCCAATCCGTAAGATTTTTGTTGTTTCCTATTTGAATGTTGGTGCGACCGGTCATATAAGTAGCATATAGACCCGCAATAAGTTGTCGATCCCCCGGGCTGTGTAAAGAATGAATGAATAAACAAAATGTAATGGAAGAGTATCAAGAGACTTTCCCGAAAATCCCAGAAGGTCTCAATATTACTGTTGAGAGACCGTCCTTCCCGTTCGCCCCAAGAACAATCTTCTCTGCTTGAACTTTGGTCTCCATGTAGACATCGAGCGGTTTCCGCGCATATGGATGGCTTTCATCGATGTTCTCGAGATCGGAGCCATCGAACACGACACCTGACGAGCTGGTGTATACGAACTTATTGATGCCAAGTCGAGTAGAAGCTGCGATTAATGCCTTGGTGCCATCAACGTTGACTTTCCAGAACTGCTCAGGTGCGGCAGATTTGGCATGCGGAGATGCACAGTGTATGATACAAGTTGCACCACACTTTCCAACTCGCTTTCAGTGGCTCAGAAAAGACAACAGAACTAACGACTCAACACACCTGTTTCAACACAGAAAGCACCGCCGCCTCATCACTGATGTCTCCGTGATAGAAAGGAATGTCATCGTAACGTTGCACAATATCCAAAACAGATACATTGTCGCCACGGTCCTGGAGCTGCTTGGCTATGTGTCGACCGAGAAGACCACTACCGCCAATGACTAGATAAACATCGGGCATTGTGAGTCGAGAGATGGTAAGAATGGTCGGCGTACTTAGTAAAGGACGGGCGTCTACAAACTGGCCCAGATCCGTTTCTTGTTTCTCAATTATGACCTTTTTCTTCATTTTATTGAGTGACACCGACTGTATGGGACTGTGTGAGTTCCATTGACATTATGTGCAGGAGCCCAAAACATTTAACTACATGATGGATCTATAGTGGCTGGGTGGTCAACTGACAACTCGTTATTTAAGCCCCACATGAACAGCGAATGTAAATGCGCAACTACGCGTCGAAGTAATGTAGTGAACCAAGTTTAGCCAGTTCGTGTCGGTAGTTGCACCAGTAAATGCGTTAACGTGAACATTGAAGACACACTCTCAAAAATACCAGGCAGATGAAGTTCTTGCGCTGCAGCGTTTGAGCCTTCGATGGGGTGGGGTACAAAAGACAAGGACAATTTTTCTTGCTGACCGGAGTTGAGGCCGTTGGAGGAGCGAGAGGGATGAGACTAGTGTCAGAGGATTGCGCCAGGGGAGTAATTGGGAGTAATAGGAAAGTTGGGGTTCTTTCCTATAAAATGTAAGTAAGTCTACAAACAACAATGAGTAAGAGACGCACTTTTGACCCATGTATCTTTACAAAGTATACCCAAATCTCACTGCACCCTACAACCCTTCAGCTCTTCATAGCGCAAGGCACCAACAAAGTCTTAAGAACGCGTTGGCGAAAGTGGACGATGTGGGTAGGCACTGGGCAGCAAACTTGCTTTTTTTTGACATGGTGAGGGTATTTGACGGAGAAGCACTGCTAAGGTAAGCCGACAACTTTCAAGTATCTAACATTCTCTAACATTGTAAACCTTTCTCGGGTTTGATTCCCAAACCGTGTATAATTTTTTCTATGCAGTTCATTCTCTGATGAGCTAACGCAAAAATATCATGCCTAAATCCTTCCTTCCAGTGTCCACATCATGCCTCTCTATGCCTCTACCTCATATCTAGGGCTCCCAGCAGGAAGCGTCACCCAAGTCACCGACTTCTCATGCTCATTGAACCACCCAAACTGTAATTCCGCCTTGACAGAATGCCCTGCTGGCCATGCCGACCCACTATAAAAGGCAACCCGTTTATGTGCATGCTCCAATGAGTCGATTACCGGCAACGGAAGGCTTGGATCGGCGGTTTTGATGTCGTTCAAGTATCGTGCGACACCTTGGAATACCTCTTCGGGTACGTGAGGCTCCTCTGAGTGAGCGACGCCCCAAGGAAATCGAATCAGCGCTGGTGCATATGCATTTTCAGCATTGACCTTCGGAGTCGAACAAAACAGATGATCGTTAATACGTCCTGAAACATGGCAGTAGCAGGACCTCACATCGACAGGTGCAGCCATAACAATGAGAAAGCTGAAAACCATAGCTAATACGAGGCCGAGACAAAAACGCATTGAGTTAATGAATCAAACTTGATTCAGAATGGCTCTGGGAATGCACAGAGGATAACAGGATAGGTAGGATAAGCCAAGTGAAAGTGACAGTTGTTTTTGAAGATTGCGAAGGGGAACTGGCCAGCAGATTCCGGGGGAAAGAAAAGGCAAACCCTATGGACCCTCACTTTTATTCTGGGACAAAATAACCGACGAGATTGTATCAAGGGATAACATTTTGATCCAAACTCAAATGTATACGTCTTCCATAAGGCTGTGGTCTCTTGTAATCTATGTTAGGCAGCACTCCCTGCGGATAAGCTCTCCCAGTTTAGCAACCTCGAGTGCTGATTCCACCACCCGAATGAGAATGCGGCATCAACCGCAAGTCCCTCCTGCCAATTATGAACGAACCGGATATTCCCGAGAGTCGAAGTCACTGGTAAGGGAAGACTCGAGTCTTCCAATTTGAGATTGTTCAATTTCCGAATCACGCGCCGCTGTACGTGGTCGGGTACATCTTCCTGCCCTTGAATGCCCCAAGGGAAATGAATAAAGGCAGGTTCGTATTCTTCAATTCGGGCCGGGGCACCTGGGTTTGGAGCGGGGTCGTTCCGAAAGCGTGCATCCAAGTGGGATCCATGGGGCTTGAAAAGGTCGCAAAATCAATACGTTGTAACGCTTATTAAAATAAGAACTACATCAAGCGGTGCAGCAAGTACGGCAACGAGATGCCCCACGGCCAACGTGAAGGACAGAGAACAAAGACGCATTGTTATGGGCGAATAGAGATTCGGAGTCGAAGCACGGTTGGTAAGAAAGTTTAGGGACCGCGGTCAGAACTATTTTGTAGAGACGTAGACTGGAGCAAAGGGAACACTGACCAGCAGCTTCTGAGGAAAAGTTTACTCCTTGTCCTCGCCTTTATAAGTATTTTCCCGTCGCGGAGGAACGCTTGGCAAATTGGTTACTATGTTTCGTTTCGCTGTGCAGCTTAAATAACTCCTCCCCTCTTTTTGGTGATTTTCTTCAGCCCTGAAGCGAAAACCTGCAGGGAACAAGCTGCAAAAGGGAACAAGGTCAAATAAATCTAGGAAGGAAGGAAGGAAGTGTATGGCTGCCCCGTAAGCCTTGGTCCAATGATCTGTGTAAATAATTCTTGGTCTGATGCGAACGGACAGTTGATACGCTGCTGGCTTAGCCTAGCAAGCGAGTGCAGAACTATTTACCGGATGCCTCGTAGACGGTTATGCTCCAATTTTGTGCTCATGCTCACTTAATATACTGTCCAATAATCCTTACGGCGTCGTCGCGTCTTCCCTATTCTTCCTGTTCGCACGTAATCCCACGTTCGATAATATGGTGAGTGATGGAAAAAAAGCCTCTCTCCGATGCGCTTGTTATTATCGCGATCTTTGTCGTTTCTCGTAACGTACTGAACTATCAAACTTTTGTCAAACACCACCTTGGAAAGATTTGTACAAGCGCAACGCTGATTTCAATCGATTTCGAAATCCAGAAAAATGGATTACATATATATTGTGAGCATTGCAGTTACCAGCCCGGTACAGGGAACTCTCTACCCAAGTACCCATTCTGTTGTTCGTAATAAACAAAAGACGAGCGAACAGAGGTCCCTTTTTGAGATGCAATTGTTTGAGATGCAAGAGCGTCGACGCTTATCTTCTTGCCATTCTCACTTGGCCAGTGACGAATGGTCCAATCATGCCAAGGAATTGACTTCGCATCTGTCTTCACTGTAGGCACAAGAGATATTAGAACCGTAAAATAAGTGAGTGGACTGATTACTTACCCTTGTGACTCTGTTCCGGGGGATAGCACTCCGCTTTAAATCCCATCTCCTTGTTCTGGAGCATGTCGGGATAAACAAACATTGTAAATCCGAGAAATGTCAGCACATGATGGTTATGTGTTACACCTCGAACTTCATATTTCTTCGGTCGTAAAGTATGTAAGCAGTTTGGTCAGTAATGAAACAAGAATTTTTACCTTTTGAGGGGTATCAAATTTATGAGCATTGACCTTGAGAACACACTGGTATCATGGTGAGGAATACTGTTACAAGTACGAGGGAATATATCACTTACTAGGCGATCTTGAGAATCTCTGAAGAGCCAATCAAATGACAAATGGTAGAATTAGTAATAAATATGTGTACATAGCTAGACAGAGCCAAACTCACACCAGAGGGACCACGGCTGGCTGGGACCCACAAGTGAATCTCTGTCCCATGTGTTCGAACTCTTTGAAATTATATATCAAGTTTTTTTCCGGATCGTGCGTTGGTGATTTCTAATCGATCGAGGGAGAAGAAGGTAACGGTGTAATTTTGGTTAGACTTGTACACAAGAATAAGGATACCGATATCAAACTTACATTGCCATCTAGAGCGAAATAGCATACTAGTAACGATGGAGGTTCGACTTCGGAATATGGGGCAGGCTCATTGCCAGAGGGTCGTGTGGAAGGTTCACCGCGTTTCAGTCCCAGATGAGCGGTCGAATCTTCAATGATAATGGGCGACGCATGGCAAGAACCTAGCAGGGTCGTAAAAAGAGCGGATACGATGGCGAAAACGAGAATCATCTTCATGGCTTTTGAAAAAACAGACTGAGGGTAATTGGAGCTTGTGAAGGAGATGAAGGGAGATGAGCAGGTCAAAAAAAAAGGTAACAGGCAGTGGAGTCCAGCTCCGGCTCTCAAGTTACGGTGGAGGGGAAGAGCGCCAGGCAAGGAAATGAAGGGAAATTAGCGGGCTCATATGTAGTCGTCGCCATGCCAACTGTTGTCTGTACCTGAAGGCGATGCAATGCTCCCTCCACCTGCTTTGCGTCTTTCGAGGCACTTCGTGCAAGTTACGTCGAAGTATAGTCAAGGAACGTCGAGACCGGATCAGGAATGAAATCAGGAGGGCCACAGAAGAATGTGGAGAAATTAGTACAAAAATTGTTCCTGACAGGAGCCATCGGGACAACAGAGAGGCTCTGAGAGTTTAAGTTCTACTCTACTTGGAGTTAAATAGTTAGCTCTATGTTAATTCAGAAAAAAATGACAAATCTCTTGGGCAACTGGTGCGAGCGGTAGACTTAAGTGAGCAGAGACCGCTTGATAAAAATACAGGGCATGAGAGTCCCAGCATTGAGCAAGTACAGAGAAAAAATCAAAAAAGTAGATGCAGATGAGAATTATACAATGCTCTGAATGCTCAAATAGCGAAGAAAAGTCGTCGTAAAGTAGACCTCAGGTATGAGAAGATACAAATGCGGCGGCGCAGGCATATGAAAGTATGTGGGTGCACTACGTAGTAGGTCGTGGAAGAAAAAAAATAGAGACTAATACTAGTATATGGGATCAACTCGTAGGAGCAATATCATCCAAAATTGTAGGATTAAACCTGTTCACGGTCTCGACAACCTGTGAACCTTTTCGTGCGAAGACGAGCTAGAAAAAATGTTATCATCATCATTTTGTTTAGTCGAATTCGTGGTCGGTAGAACATACCAAATATGGATTGGCCGTTTCCCCTGTCGTATCCCGGAACACCTCCTCCTTCCCGACCTCCGTAACCTCTTCGTCATTATACTTGAACCACACATTAGGTTTCTCCGGTAAATTTCTCGAATAGAAGAAATAATGACCGAAACTTGGACTTGAGCCTCGATGAATGAAAACAGAGGTAAGCTCATACTCGACCTGTTTGCTATCGGCCCAAAGATACTCGAGTTGGGCTTTTAGTTGAGGGATTCTGGTGCGGAGGCGATGGATTTCGTTCTGGAGATATGTTGTCTCAGAGGAGATAGCCGACAGTTGGGGAGCGACTGGGATGGAGATGGAGGAGAGAAGTACGTTCGCGGAGGAGAAGAAGGTCGAGGATGTTTGGAGAGCATCGGAAAAGGAGATGTTCTGTGCATCGAAATAAAAAGGGGTTGAGAAGCTACTTTATCTTGAGGAACGAGCTCGACGTACATTCGACTTCCCCTTTGTCAATAACTTTAACCGTTCCCGGCATGTATTCAACTCGTCCTGGACCTCCTTCGACCTTTTTCTTTTCTCTGGATTCGCAGTGTCCATGAAACGATCCATATACAACGTTTCACCAAACTTGACATAGGCTTGAGATTTCCAGGATTGCAAGAGTTCGCGATTGAATTGTACACGCTGAACGAAGAAAAAAGCACAAAGGGTCAGTGCGTTACTGGCATGATTGTCAAACGCTTTATCCCGAACGCACCTGGAGCTGAACCTGCAATAATGGCGGAAGCTTCACCAAGCCCACCTCCATCGGTACCTTCTGCCCTTCATACTCGATCGTGTCATCGAAATACCTGCCTAACCCATCGTAGATGTCAAAAGTCGAAAATTCTTGAAGGTCTTTCGAAGAGCCATCAGTGGCGGGGGAAACCGCGACGTCGTAAGGAGGAGAAGGACTACGGTCAACCAGGTCAACTTCATCTCCAACATTAACTGGCAAGTGCGAAAACAAGTCCTCTTTCTCGTGTTTTGTTGGTTCACCCTTGAGCGTTTCGATGAAGGTTTGACGGATTTTTCCATAGAAGAGTCTATTCCGAGGTGAAGACGTGACAGTCAATCGGCAAAGAAACGATTGTAAAAAGTACGAGACATACCGCTTAACAACACTCGTTTTTCCAGGATCATCCAGGGCTTCCTCATCCACTTCACCACCTTCGCCATGGAACTTGAGCAAAGCAGTCTCGATCTGGAACATGCAGTTATCCATGCATTCTGCGACATCGTGTTGTTTTCCTGAAAAAAAAAATTAACGACCACAGATAGAAAGAATGATGCGACAATGGCCAGAACAACTCACCAAACATCATGACAGAGTCATTGTGCACTGGCGGTGCTGGTCTTCTTGGAGGAAGTGGCGGTGGGTTTTGCGGTGGTTTGGGTAATCCTCGTGGTTCCCGAACGGGGGACGCGTCACACATTACCACATCTTCCGAATTACTTGCCGCCGCTTGTCTTAGCTCGGAGACAGATACCAAAGGTGGCGGTCCTTCAGACACTCCTGAGCTCTCTCTTGAAACTGATCCGAAGGAAGCTACAGACGAAGGTGGCGGCGAAGCCGACGACGAGGCGCGTATCGAGCGATCATCTATTAGCTCTGTGTCCTCTCTTGAAAGTCCTGCACCACCGGCACCTCGCAGACGTTTACCCAATACAGAGGAAGGCGATCGAGTGGGGCTTGGTGGGGAATGAGACTGATCAGGAGGGGTATAAAGTGAGGTTGAAGAGGAAGATACTGATATTGGAGAAGTTGTTCGATGTGGACGTTCGGTCGCGGAAGAAGATGAGTTAGAAGTTGAATGATACGTGGGAAGAGGATGTGTCGGACGAGGAGGTAAATCATCGACTAACGTTACATCTGTATCCTGAGAAGAATCCGTTCCAGCTTTATGAGACTGCGAGTCGGCTTTATTCGATTCATCCTCTACTTCCTCTTCCTCATCTTTTGATGTGACTAATGCTAGCTTCGCTAGATCGATCGATGGAGTGACAGAAGGATTGTCGGCGTACTCCAGTTTGTGGAAAAGGTCTGCGAGGTGGGAGACGACTGTGTAACGGATACGATGTCAGTATGTCACACCGTAGGGAGGTCCCACCCACATTGCTTTGACCTAACAATCTCTCTCCTCGTAACCAGCCTTCCTCCGACCCGATGCTTCTTCAGATCGTCATCCGTAACTTCTTCGAGTAATTTGACTTTCAAAGATGCCTTCATCGGATTAGAGGCATCATGATGGTCTAAAGGCGTTTCGAAAGATGTGGAAATAGCCTTCTCCTTCTCTTCACTACCGGTATCATTGCCAGCGGTACTCATCCCAGTCATACTTCCCATAGCAATGATTGAAGAGCGGAGTTCTTTGATAGTGTAAAAGTACTTTCAAGTCGTCAGTCAAGCAAGTACGAAAAAAGAAACAGGTCATCTTACCTGTAGCAACGAATTGAGATAACATGTATTTCCAAGTTGATTGAGACCTCGAGGCCAGTCAGCGCGTGTTGGGGCAAGTAGTTCGCCAGCTGTGTGGAGGTGTTAAACATCTTCGTTACATAGTCTTTATCAAGAACAAGATAAAGGGAACAGCAGGAATAGAGGAATAGCAACAACGAAGACAGCCACGTCAAGAGTAGTCCCAAAAACGACAGCAAGAGGCAGTGGAAGACTACTGGATGTACTGAAAACAACTCACGATCCCTCATCGTCCTTGCAAACTCTCTCAGTCTCTGGCTATCCCTAGCTTCCGATATCATCTTGAGGGCTAGCTGCATTTTCTGCAGTTGCGCGGGCGAGTCTTCAATCTAAGTATATGTGGACATTAAAAAAGACAGAAGGTCAGAGAGTCAAATGTTGTACGTACCCGCATCTGATAGATAGTAATTAGCATCGCATCATCTATATCTGCGGGTACTTCCAGAGCTGTGTAGGCACCCTCAATGGTCAATACTAGTCCATCACTACTATATCCTCCGCTCTTGTTAATGCCTTCTCCGTACCCAACACCGTCTGCACCAAAAATACCGTGCCGAATTACGGAGACAACAAGTTATGAGAATCAGACTGAATAATCGACCACGACAACACTTACCAGATCCCCTTTGAACCTTATGCCACATATCCATCAGTTCAATACTTCCCCGACTCTCTGCTACGATCCTTAGAGCATCTGTGTAGTTATTGCGCCCCTTCGCACTATTTTTCCCCTCATACAGGTCCATTTCAATATCACCACCTGAAGCAGAGTTGGAGTCTCGTTTGAAACACTCCCTCCATGCATTGACAATGAATTCGTCAGGAATAAGAGTCACCAACTCTTCGCTGGTGTAATAATCATCCGTCTCCCAGATAAGTCTATCGCGTTCATCTTCGGGATTGTCGACGTCTAAAACACGTTATTGAAGAAGAGGAAAGCATCAATACAATATTCATCCGTGAGAGACGGAAATGAAACAGCTCACCCCATCCATATATACTGCCGCGATTGTGACCATATGCATCCCCACAATAAGCTTGATTCTTGACCAGATCCCCATCCCACTCCATGTTCAACCAGCCACACCTGCCCTCTCTCAACGCAGAAGTGTAAGTGAATCCCAACGCCTCAATAGCATTGGCAAGAGAAACCTCTGACCACCGTCCACGAGTATCTTCATGGATGTATAGGTTGGTGATAAGTTCTAAATTGATCGAAGAGGTGGAAGAAGATGAAGGTGATGTTATCAAAGCACGGTTTATCGTCGACGTTGTGTTACCATTATTGTCTTCATTCGTAGTGTTCATGAAAACAGATCCATATTCCGGTATGCTCGACAACTGCACCAACGCGTTCATAATGACCTGTAGTGCACCGAAATACGTCGGTGTATGGGCAGGATCACAGCGAATTTGCGCAAGATACGCGAAGCACAAGAGATCGGTGCTCCAAGCTGTCGGGGTGAGACCTAGGATGCTGAATTTATCTGCGACCTCTCTGGATCGAAGCTCGTTGATAACTGTGGCGGGAAGATCTAAGCGGGGAACTAGAATTAACATAATATATTCAGTTCATGTCGATAGCGGATGTCAGATGAAGGGTTATTATCCACTCACTTTGTTCAACATGAGCACCAACAGCTCTCTGGTACATCTCTCTGACATTCGCCCCGCCAGGGTTGAGCTTAACCCACAAATCATGCTCTTTATAACTTGAGGCCAATGCACGCCCTAGAATGGGGAGTACAATCAGAATCAGACCAAACAAGGCACAGCAAAAAATGAAAGCAAAATACGATCAAGTGGCTAAGAGGACCGAAACAAGACATATAAACTCACCAACCCCATCCCTCTCCTTCCACTCCGCGATCCACGAGCTAATCTCTACCCAAGCGCGTATTAACCTCCGCCGGTTTAACCTCCCTTCACTCGTCGTAGGGGTAATGACCGGACCCCGGAGAAAAATATCGATTATCTGCGGATTTGCGGGATTCTTGTGTGTCTCGGGATGGAAGGAGAGGCTTTGGAGGATTGATTGACTATGGAAATAGGGTCGATAAAGAATTAGAAAGATAAACGAAGAGCAGGGTCAAACAAAAAAGGAAATAGAAACAACGAGGGAAAGGCGTGAAGAAGAGAAATACTCACATCCATTCTCCCCAACCTAGCCTTCTCGAGAACCCCTTTCCGTTCACTTTAATGTTCCGGTTCTCGCCCTTCCAGAGGTGATTTTGGATTATGCTGTAGTTTGACGAGGGATGGCATGAGTATGTGAACGAACAAATAAATGAGATGAACGAGGGCGCGCGGAGTGAAATAAACTTGAGAAGTAAAAGAGCTCGGATAACACTAAATGCGCCGCGCCGCAAAGAACGCCGACACGAAAACTCACATCAACAACGTCTCCAACCCGCCCAGAAGGGTCTGTTCTTTGCTCATACTGGGGTTCGGGTTCTCTAGTCTGTCGTTGACATATGCGTTCCATGTCTGGAGAGGAATGACGCCTGGTATTACGTTTGGAATTTGGTCTGTGTTCGGATTAGGAAAATATTCGTTAGCTGGAGGAGATGGAATATCCTTACCAGTTCCAGATTTTGTTGAGGACAAATGAGAAGGAGACGACACGACGAGGAAGAAGGAGCATTGACAGCATACGTATGAATCTAATAATAGTGGCTGATCAAGCGTAGGTTTTGCTGTAGACTTGGAACCTGTGGGGTTATCCACATCCATCGAGCCATCTCCTCCAATTGATTCGCCAACAGGAAAATCATCCTTCCAATGCCTCACCGGTGGATCCAAGGTCCTCCCATCGATGGATTTAGGGTATTTATGAAAGTGATGTGTCAAGTCATGAGGTTGTCGGTCTCTATGACCTTCTCCGGACCCCGTTGTATAAGCTAAACAATTGATACCCATACCGTTACCCTGCATCCTGCATTCTTCCCTGGGTAACGTGTATACGGAGGCTCGGATTTGAGGGATGAAAAGCGGAAGAGGGTCCCCACCAAATATCGATGTTGAGGAGGAGGTATCACGCCAGCTCAATATCATCCATGCATTCTCTTTTGGTGAGAAATACGCGTCTGGGTGAGGCTTTCCTGCTAGATTGACTTCAAGCGCAGAAGGAGGAACGTGAGGAGGACGCGGTCGAGGTGACTTTGGACGATGCGGGGTGTGGGACGAAGGATCAAGTGATGAGTTGGATGCGGTTCGGACAAGTGATGGCGAAATTTGAGGAGCAGGAGGATCGACATTGCCTTCCTTATGCTCAATTGGCACAATATCCGGAGGAGTAATCTCCACCTTGTACAAGCCTTTGCTTCCAACACGTTTCCCGAGTAACCTTTGGATCCCGGCCTCTACACTCTCTGCCATCAACACCGGAAGTGCACCCTTTCCTGGATAGCCCCTGCTGGAGATATATTCGCGATTCCACCAATGCAGTTCATCGTTATCATGGCGAGAGCTAATCGGAATTTGGGGCGCTATCGAGGTGGTTATAGTGTTCGTGGCGTAATCAGTGATACCCCATGCAGCAGCGTCACTCGACCCTTCGTTATCCCATCCTGAACCTGCGGGCTCATCCCCCCATCCGTAAGCAGTGGCACCAGATTGGTTTCCCCACTGATTCCCTAGTTTGCCCTTATTGGACCAAGGGTTCGAGGTTAAATCAGGGTTAGCATCATCGGAAAGAACATCGGAGATGGCGTGTACGAAGCGTGGTGTCGGCTCATCATCCTCAGGTATGAGCTCTGGCGGACGATAGTCTTCAGATATTGGTGTATTAGTAAACGTCGTTGAAGATGATCCAACGCCTGGGGGTCTCACTTCCACCTGCCCTGGTTTTGACGATTTCTGCGACTGTTCCGGTACCTCTAATAATTCGTGTAATGTTTTATTGCGCGGAGGAAAAGTAGCGTCCTGCTTCTTGGGATCAGCGTAAAACGAAGACGGGGGAACTGTAGTCGGTTTTGGAGGAATAGGAGCTAATGTAGGTGTACCTGGTCGCAGGGGTAGCGTCGAGGCTAGTGTCTGTATACCTGGTCTTTCTGCCGGAGCAGATGTCGGTGTACTAGGCCTCTGCGTCGTTTGACCAGGTGAGCTCGACCGAACACCAGGAACAGGTAACGGCCGACGCGGTTTGTTCGCTTCCATCCTTCTCGGTGCAAGCTATTCCAATTTATGTTCTAAATAAATCCACTAGTCAATTCACCTGTCATGATATGGTATGAAATTTACACACCAAAGGCCAAATTACCGATTATCCTTCGAAACCGTTTTCCTAGCTTCTGTGCACACCGTATATGTTCCAAGCTCTAATCTTTGTAATCCTTCTGTAGTTCAGGAGAGCTTGTATTCGCGATAATCTTTTGATTTCGTTCCGCGGTCTCTGCCAAACCCGAATAAGATGATCAGATGAGGGTCGAAATACAAGATACGTCGAGTGAGATTATGTATGTTCCAAGAAAAACCCAGCACTAAGTTCAAGGGAACGGTATCAAGCAGCAATGCCACTGAAGCTGGCTTTTTCTCATCGACGTTGAGCAGCGCGTTTCGCAGCCTCGTCAGCGCTGCCTTGCGGCTGACATAATTCCGCGGAAGCTAAATTTGGTAGACATTTCTCACCGTCTTAGATCTGAACAAAACACGAAATTCAACCGCCAACAGCCAACGATTGATATCGCCACGGCTTCCTCGACATGCTTTCGCCCTGCCCCCGATTCTCTGTCAATCGAATCCTAGATTTCTCACTCTACGGATCAGAATCTTCTGCGTTTTAATTAGGACATACAACCTCCAAATTTAGGCAGCAAAATTACACTACTTTAATGACCAGCTTTCCCATTGTCATTCCACTTGTTAAATCTAATTGTGCTTGTCTCCCTCCCTCAGTTGTAAATGGGTATTCCTTGTATATATTCACCTTCAACACCCCCTCACGAATCATTTTAAAAATCTTGCTTCCGATTTCCCATGCCTCATCAGCAGTCACAACATAGTTGGACACACTTGGAGCAGGCAAAGGATGAAGTCATGAGTAAGAACGTATGGAAAAGGCCATCACATACGAAGGTCGGACTAGCTTGAGGTTCTTCGGCGTCAGCTTCAAAGGGGAGAATGGCGGTACGGCCCCAGATGCATTACCGACTGATACCAAGGTCCCTTTCCGCTTTAGTAATTCAAAGTTCATCTCGAATCTGAAGCATCGGAATAAGTACTAGCATTTCAGGTGAGCTAAGACGCATACGTATCCTTTCCAACTCCATCATAAACTACATCCACCCCTCTCCCAGCTGTCAACACCCTTACTTTCTCCACAACATCTTCCTCTTTGTACAAAATAACATCATCCGCACCATTGTTCCTCGCCAACTCCGCTTTTTCCTGGGTCGAGGTAGTTCCGATTACCGTTGCTCCGAGATGTTTGGCGTATTGGGTAAAAATAAGACCTAGGCCTCCGGCTATGGTGTGTATGAAGACGGTGTCGCCAGGAGAAACGGCATATGCTTCAGACATGAATGTGATAGCAGTAGCGACTTGGGTGATGGATGCTGCAGCGATTCTAGTTGAGACACCATGGGTGGGGAATACGTAGGACCAGGCAATGGAAACGTATGTTTGGTCGGTACCCATTGTGGTCTGTCAGGAGGCGGAATGGTCGGTACAATGATCGATCCATGTACAGATAAAGAAACCTATGGCATACCACGGCTACAGACATTCCAACCTCGAATCCCTGCCTCTTATAGGACGGGTTGCCCAATACCTCAGCATCAGTGGGTAAAGCAACGATAATCCCAGCGGCTTCTTCGCCAATCGTAGTGGGGAAGTGGTCCAATGGATACAGACCTTCACGAAAGTACGTATCGATGAAGTTTACCCCGATGTACTCAATCTGAACGCGAGAAGGATCAACCAAGCCAACACACATTGTAAAAATAATTTACTTTAACGACTAAATCTCCCGGCTTGACTTTTGGAAATGGCAGCGTCATCTTTTCCAATACGTTGATGTCACCCGTTTGAGCAATGGCGAGAGCTTCGACTGTAGAAGGAAATTTGGAGGAAGACATTCTCTGTTCTTTGTGTCCCTCCGGGTGTTTGACCTGAAGACATAGATGGAAACGAAGTGCATAGTTCGAGAATTATCTCGATAGAAATCGATATGAATACGCACGGGGAAGAAATTCTTGATATCTGAATGTGGAATCTTCTCAAAAAGATCGTTCTTTATGTCTATGAGGTCCACAAGTGAATCCTGAAAATCTTGAGTGGAATATGAGTGAATCTGCTTATTAGGATATACGCTGCCACTAGTATCACTTACCTCGGGCTGGTATGATAACGATAGAGATATACGGAGAGAGCAGATCGATATACGCTAGGGTCCGCAAGTAGGATGTATCCACTTTTTGCTAAGGCAGCTCCTATGCAAGCTGTGTCAGTCAGCAATTCACCATCCAGCAAACGGTGAGCTCGGGGCGTTGAAGAGCTACTTATATGCACAAATATACCTATCAGGGAAATACGATAGTTGCCATTCCCATGCTGACTAGTAATGTTTTGGGCGTAGGGATGAAAAACACAACGCTTACTTAGCAGATCATTGAATGATTAGACGGGCATTACAGGAGATGTCAAAGTGGACAACGAAATTCAAAAACAGCTGTTGCGCTCCTGCTCCGTTCCATGTCGCGTTATATTGCACACGATAAGAAAATGGGCACGAAAAAGGTCCGAGGGAAGCTGCTCTCTGAAATGTGCGGTCATCGTCGGAGAAATCCTAAAGAGAAATTCGAACGATTGTCAGCTTTCCACGAAAACAGCTTAGGTGACTTCCAAGACGGGTTAGTGAGGTGAAAAATTTAGTTGCTGGTGATACAAATTTAGTTAGCTTCCATACATTCTCGCTGAATTCTTACTACTCCTCCAACTCTTCATATCCCATCTTCTCGATCTTGTTCGTGGAGGACTACTCTCCTAGTACTTTGAATGCCACTACCCACGAGACTCAATCCTGCACAACCTTGATCAAAAGCTTGCCCGTAGTTTTTCCTCCTGTGAGATCCTTCTGCGCCTGTTGTCCTCCCTCTTGCGTGAACGGATACTCCTTGAATATATTGATCTTGAGAACACCGGACGAGATAAATTCGAAAACTTTGTCCCCATAGTAAGCTGCTTCGTCAGGCGTGACAAGGTAGTTGTTCATCCTAAAGTTCCAGGGACGGACGTGAAATGAAATTTAAGTTAGATGGAAAGCAAAGGGAGTGCGTGGCAGAAAACACACGTTGGTCGCAGCAGTTTGAGATTTTTGGGCAGGAGTTTGAGAGGAGAAACAGGAGGAACCGCTCCAGACGCATTGCCTACGGAGACGAGAGTACCTTTTCGGCGGAGCATCTCAAAGTTACTTTCAAACCTATGAAACCAATGGTATCGGCTTTTGAAATCCCAGTGCCAGAGAATCAACGCACGTATCCTTCCCAACACCATCGAACACCGCTTCAACACCGACTCCGTTAGTAATCTCCAAGACCCTCTTCACCGTGTCCTCCTCCTTATACAGAATAACATGATCTGCCCCATGGGCTTTCGCTAGTTCCGCTTTCTCCTTTGTCGACGTCGTCCCAATCACCGTCGCACCGAGATGTTTGCCTAGCTGAGCCATCAATAGTCCGAGACCGCCAGCAACAGTATGGATGAGGATGGTATCGCCCTTTTTGACTTTATAGGATTCTTCGAAGAAAGTGAGAGCTGTGAGGCTTTGAACAAGACCTGCTGCTGCGATTTTGGTGGAGACGCCGTGGGTGATCGGATATGCTTTGATCCATGGCACAGATATATATGTTGAATGGGTTCCGAGGAAATCCTACGGATCGATATTTGGGATAACGAAGACGAAGATAAAATGATCGAATTCGTACAACAGCAACTTTTCCTCCCACTTTATATTCCATCCGTTGGAAATCGGGACTGTTGAGGACTTCTGGGTCAGTTGGAAGCGCAATAATTTCCCCAGAGGTTTCCTTCCCAAGTATCGCAGGGAAGCTTGGGTACGGATAGAGTCCTTGACTAAAAAAAGGCTTGGAATCCAAGAATTGTTCGCGATTGGCACGATGCATACCGGTAATATGTATCAATGAAATTAACACCAATCCATTCTACCTATGAAACTCATCAGTCGAGTGTCGCTTCTGAGGTTGAAAGACACACTTTGATCACCAAATGGCCTGGCTCGACTTTCGGGAATGGCAAAGTCAGCTTTTCCAGAACTTCAAAGCCACCAGTCTACACAACAAGATATTCTTTAGTTTCATTGGTATCGATAGATACATAGTAATCTCCCACACACTTTGTTGATCGCAAAAGCCTCTATTGTCTCAGGAAATTTTGGAGTCGACATTGTTATTGAAGGTAAAGATCTTGAATTGAGGCCAAAATGAGAGTATATTCGAGAAAGCCTGGCGGAACTTCGTGTAAAACGATTAATAAAGAACATGAAAGTGAAGGGACATACCGGGGAGGATGATAAATCAGGTAAAAACAACAAAACCAAAACTAAACGAAACGGCACACGATTTATGGATGGCGTCATTCCTCCCCATACCATTAGCCATTGACCACTCGCTCATTCGTAAAATTGCCTGAATTCCATTAGTGGCTCGAGAATGCGTTGAAACTTAGAAATGAAAGTTAGAGTAGAACTTGAAGTTTGAAGGTCGAACTATAACAAGCGCTTAGTGTATAATGACCACGTGCTAGTGCGCGCTTCAGACGACGCGTCGACGCGCTTGCTTTCGATCATGTAATTTCATTCATCGAAGAGGTAGTGGTATAGGTAAAAGATTAACTGGAGGGTATTCAAGGTATTGTATGGTAGCATCGACTCTATTCCATCCTAAAAGTCCACAGCGATCTCAGCTCTCCACGCATCTTCCGACAAATGAGCTATGGAAAGAAGCGATAGCTGAGTAAATTGAATTCCTTTTGAACCAAATCGCCATTCTGGTGAGGATGAACCTTCATTTTTGGCTTGCTGTAAAGATAGAAATGATCAGAAATGAAAAAAAAACAAGTCAGAGTCGGTCTCTTACCTCGATAAATTTGATGAAAGTGTTTGTAACAGCAGCAGCTAGCTGCACCCTCGTAATATGTCCAGAAGATAAGACCACTTCTATAGGAAATGTGCATTCCAGGTGTTCGTATCCAGGCCACTATAACAAATGAAATACATTTCAAATCAGACACGGAACTCTCTAAAGCACAAAATCAATCAACTTACCCTCACTACCAAGTGAATCCTTCTTATCCCACTCTGCGCAAACACCATAACACGCTCTGCTCCTCTATCCATCATCTGCGCCAGTGCGATTTCTCCCCTGGCGTATATTTCTCGCATAGGCATCCCCGCACCAGGATATCCTAGGCAATCAAACGCGATAGGCGCTTGAGGACGACTCGAGGAGCGAAATTTCAACGAAGGGGTGTATGGGACGCGACGGCGGCGCGAATTCGTGTACGAGGACGAAGAAGACGAAGTGGAAGCGGCGATGGAACTTGAGAGGGAGTTATAGGTAGATTGTTTGGAGGCTGGTACGGGCGAGTGAAGCGGATTGTTGTAAGACATGGCGTAGATGTGGGGTAAAAGTGTAGTAGATCCGAAGAGGATTCACAGATTCACAACAGTGGAAAGTTATCGAGTCGAATGAGTTTTAGTGAACTTCAGTGCTATCCAAGAGGATTGACGAAACTCACCGACTAACATCATACCTTTTATACTTGTCCATCCGCCTCCTTCCAAATCCTGCATGCCTTTCTTCTCGTCGAGTGATATATCGCAAATGAGGAGTAAAGGGGAGAAACGAGGACAGGAGATAGTGAAGGAGGACGCAGGATGGCAGGATTCAGCGTTAACCGACAAACGCAAAGTGATAATAAAGAGTTAATGGCATTTACAGTCCTCACCTACTTAACCGACGCACAACAAGTGATAATAAACAACTTTCCCTAATCCGTTCTACTCACAGTATATCACATTCGCCGGAATAACCGTATGTTCCTGGATGACCTTTTCACATTGCGCGTATCAGCCTGTATCAGCTCAAATCAATCCAAATTAGTTCCCTACTTACGCAGCATCTCCCCATATTCTCCCAAGCCTCGAGGCCGGTCATCCTTTCACAGTTATCACATCTCCGTATAGGCAATAATCCCGCCATCCTCGAGGCTCGTTTTGACCAATCCTCCCTTGATATCTCTTCACATCTCTTCACATCTCTTCACATCACATGCGATTGCAGGCCACTGCACCACCGTGCATGGCAAAAACTCGGCTCCTTTCTTGGGGTTTATTAAATATTATGGAATCAAAAAAACAGGGCGCCTTTCAGGCGCCAACATCGAATGTTTTTTGGGAACAAAATAAAAGCAAATTTACATAAACTACAGTATCTATGGAGTAATAGGGAGTAACTGAGTGAGATGCTGTGAGACGAGAAAAAATAATTGTGACAGAGTCACAGTCCCGTGATATCCCGTGCCGGTCACAAAAAATCAATTCAATTCAACTCAGTGTTACTTTTGTCCAAACAAGGAGAAACTCCTACCATAAAAGGAAATTAATTTTGTATGGAGTGCCGTATATAAGGACGATACTTCCGTAAACTACAGCCTCGTAACATCTCTTCACGTGGAGTCTGGTCACGGCTTGTCACCATTTTTGTGCCCTTTCCGGGTTCAATGTTTGAGGCTCCCTCGAGGTGATTATAGCCCGCTCCATTAGCACCAGCCTCATTCCATGGACCTCGTCGATCACTGTCGCGCCGTGTCCCGTCGTGGCATAGTCAACGTAGAAGGTGCAGGACCGTCATCCCCTGCAGTGCTGTTTGCTCCGAGTCATAAATCCGAATTTCGTTCAAAGGATTCTAGTGACACCCGTCGAGGAAGGACCGCGGAAGGAATGGAACAAATTGTGGACTATTTGTGGATAGACAACATTGCCATATTCATATTTATGAGGATCTCACCCTTTATTCACTCTACATACACCGTTGGTGAAGTGGTTATCATGCTTGCCTTCCATTCAGATCAGCAAGCGGCTCGGGTTCGATTCCCGAACGGTGTAGTGCTGGTATTTTGAACTTTGCTCTTGGTGCTGCCGAAATTACTTGCTTTTATTTTTGACAATATAAACTAGAACAATTTCTCAAATACAATACACACCCAGATACTCCTCACGATTTCTTGTCTCCACTCTGGTCCATTTCAATAGATTTGACTAACATAAGAATACAACGTGAAGACTCATAATACTTAGCAGTTTTTCAGTATTCCGAGTCAATTGCTGCGCCCTTTTGATTTTGGTCCATCATTTCATGAGACTCAACCTGTATAAACACCTGTTGAACAATTAGTTAAGTCATCGAAGCACATATATTGATCACTGACCTCAGGCCGACTGCGAGTATGATAACCCAAGTTGACCTCGACCTTTTGCCACACAAAAGATTGCATTGAGTAAAATATCCAACATCATTAGCAATGGACAAAACACATACATGTTGGCTAACTCCATGTTCAGTATATATCCCAGATCGGCCAGTGGTAATGGGATTGTGGTCAGATGTTGAATCCATGAACTTCCATCCTCCTCTTGAGTTCAGAGATGAGAGTAGAGAATTTGTGTATAGCTTCGCAAGGGTAAAATTGAAGAAAAGATGTCTAGAATGAGAAGACACTACTGTCAGTTTGCAGTTGTGATCAGAGAACATTGAGTAGCACGCACACGCCAGCAGGATCAAGAAGGAAAGTCAGTAGATGGGCAATGCTATATAACAAATAGCGAAGAACTTTAGATAAGGGGATAATAAAATAGACATGAAAACGAATACGTACTCCCAGATGACCGTGATCATTCCTGAGGATCATGATTATCTCTCAGTATTGAAATTGAATGGAAAGGCTGCAAGAGTTCGGCGTACCAGTTTGTAAAGTTACTGTAAAAACATTGATTGAGGCTGTTAAATGTCCAAGTCCATTGAACACACTTACACCGGATAATCCTATCAATCTGATTGTCTGTTCCTTTATTGATTCCTGTCTTGAAATGTCTCTGAAAATCTATGCGTAAGAACGTTTGACTTGCCGTGGAAGCTGGAATGGCAATTTACCAGATGCAGCACCAGTGTTGCCATTATAATTAAATCTGCCGCCATAGCAGTGACGGCCCCTAAGAGATGTGCTAACATTCAGCATCAAAGCTGCCAGCGTAAAAGGAGACAAGGTAAGCTCTCGAATCTTGACTTACAAATAATGACCACCACTTGAAACCTTTGAAATTCTGAGAATGCTTTCACAATGTCCGCACCAATTGCAGTTGCAATGCCCATCACTGGGGAAGTTTTAATTCAGCTTGCGCAACAAAGAGCTCGAAATTTACCTACACATATTTGCAAGAGCACCGACAAAGATGATCAAGGTGACAAACCAATTTCCGAGTAGGATCTGCACTCTCCACCCGTAGAAACTTTGTACCAAGCCACCAATAATGCCCTGGAGAAGAAGATTTTGAACATGATGTGTGATCTTGTATGAAGAGAGGATATTCACCACAAGAGCTGGCTCTAGATCATCATCAACGAAGTTGGATTGCTAGTTGATCGAGAAGGACTTTCATACATACCAGCAGCAAATACCCAAGTTGAATCAGAAATGTAAGGAATGTCTCCTACACCACAAGTTCAGCAAATCATGTAGTGGTACAACACAGATTCCAACGCACCAAAGTGTTTCACAAGTGATAGATACATATATGCCATTATGAAGATTGTATGTGTAGTGTCTGCGACGAAGACCACGAAGACCTGTGACAATCTCTTAATCAATCGAGTATGTGGACAGCTTGAAGACGACCTACATATGCGTGAATGAATGCCCTATCCCTAGTGAGATGTTCAGCAAATTCTCATGATATCGTCGTGATGGTTTTGACCACGAACTTTTTCCGATATGCACTCCAGTACATATAACTAAATAAAGAAAATCTACCTCAGCATGGTGAGGAATCCGTGAATGGTCCGTACTAAGCTTACACTTGAGTCACCGAAATCCCGAATAAAATTAGGGCAAGAAAAGTGCCGATAAGCATCGGTCCATGTCTACCACACCCTCGCATGAATGGAAGAGACTCGAGGAAAGGGATGATATTACTGACGCGACTTCTGCTGGTCCAAGAGCCATGGTGGAGGGGGAATATGTCGAGCAAGAAGAGACTCCAGATCCTACCAGCCGCGGGTATATCTATATACCATATGCTCTATAATGTTCCCGAATCCGAATGTATAGACAACCCTCCGGACTTGTGTCTTCTGTAGTCTGGTTTCAATGTGGATAATTTGCAGCCATGTTTCGGCTTCATGTTACACTCAGAAACCGGAGATCATCAGCGATGAGGAAGATTCGAGATCTTCACGATCCTCACAGGAGAAGACATATATGTAACGACATGGAATTGTATGAACTAGTGTGGAACGTTCAAAAGCGGGAAGGAAGAAGGACTGGAAAGAGCTGGAAAGCTTCCATAGCATATCACTCGGAAACTATCTAATTGAATGTCATGATTGAACATAATTAAACGTGCTATCAGAAATATAGTACTCACCGGCCAAAATCGATGAAGCACATGCTGAACAGTGTATCTTCTGGACTTCTTTCACGGAGTTGGAAGCCGAAAACGACATGATTCGGTATGAGTCCACGGTTGATATCGAAAGTGGAGTCGTGCATGAGATGATGTAGCAACCATGCGAATACCGCAGTGCGATGAGTGTTTTTCTTGAATTATGCGTATTTTCGCCCCGTTGAAGAATCGCATGCGCATCTACGTATATCCGAGGTCGCCGTTTGTGGGCGAGGATGCGAACCATGCGATGGTCAACGGTGTAAGTAGCCGGACCTTCCTTCCTTGACTGATCTTCCGAATCTCGGTGGAAACAAATCAGCCCGGATTGCTTCAAGAGCGATCTGGAAATTCAATCCTCGACACGATTGTTATAAAATCAGCTGTCCTGCTTGTTAATCGGCACCACTTGTCTCTGTTTGTTACAACTAACATCCTTTTCGACATCTCTGTCCAGCTCGCCCAGAATCATGCCTACCGTTCCCGCAGGAAGCAAAGTCCTCGTAACCGGAGCCAACGGCTTCGTAGCTGCCTGGGTCATACGTACGCTCCTTGAGAAAGGGTACAAAGTTCGGGGAACAATCAGATCTGAAGGGAAAGGCGTACATCTAAAGAAAATTTTCGCCGACCATGGGGACAAATTTGAGTTGATAATTGTTGAAGATATCACCAAAGTAAGGTGCCATTGACTTGAAGTAGTACTACTGCTATTTCAGAATCGAGGTTCTTGGGCTCCCGATTTGGGTTCGGATTCTCATATTCGGTGTTTTCTTTTATTAGGATGGAGCATTCGATGAAGCAATCAAAGGTGTAGATGCAATCGCACATACTGCATCACCTTTCCAGCTCGCGGCAGACGATCCACAAGGCAATCCTCGTTTTTCTGTTCAACGAATCTTGTTAGCTTATCAGAAACCTATACAGAGCTAATCACTCCAGCCGTAAACGGAACCGTCAGCATACTCAAAAGCGCACTTACCGCGTCAACTCTCAAGCGATTCATATTATTGTCATCTACCGCTGCCGTCATCTCTCTTCTACCTGACCCCAAGCCATTCACGGAATCAGACTGGAACGAACAGTCAATTGAAGACGTCAAAGTGAATGGGAAGAATGCAAACCAGGTTAACAAGTATTGCGCGAGTAAGACTTTGGCAGAGAAGGGTATGTAAAATAACAATCTACAATTTGCTGTCTTTCCTCTGATTCGCATTCTAATCATGTTGTTTCCTATTCCTGGACCTTTCATTAGCTGCTTGGGAGCTCTACAACGCTAATAAGGCGAAACTTTCCTGGGATCTCGTCGTGTTGAACCCACCATATGTGCGTTGATCTTAATTGACCCTTTGAGTTCCGTAACTTGCACAAGCTCACCGAATCACCCATTCAATCTCTTCAGATCTTCGGCCCAATCATACACGAAGTCTCATCTCCCGCAGCCCTTAACACATCCTCAGGCGACTGGTACAACTCGGTTGTCCGCCCCGACATGGGAGGCAAGCCCCTCGACCAAATCGCTTTGGTCGGCAATGCGTGGATCGACATCCGGGATGTAGCTCTTGCCCATGTCCTCGCTCTCCAGAAGGAAAAAGCCGGGGGTGAACGATTAATCATCCTCGAAGGAGATTTCTCATACCAAGATTTCAGTAAGTTCGGCCCCTTTTTTTGATTTTGACAGAGTGTATACATCTCCAATCAACTGCGATACTTCTTTTTTTTTTCTAGTCGACGCAGCCAATTCCCTTTCACCTTCCCCCATTCCTTCTCACACGGACATGCCAAAAGGAAACCCTGGGGCGGGGAAGATTTTGAAGCCGATCTTTCCTTATGATGCAAGCAAGGCTCCGAAGCTCCTTGGTCCGGAATTGGTGTATCACACGAAAGAGGAGACGACGAGGGAAACCTTGGCGGATTTCGAGCGACGAGGCTGGTGAGGAGATGGTGCGAGCTTCAACCAATAGAAATTGAGTTCAAGAGCGTTGCTGCCAGTCCCGTATACCCGTCGATTGTACATCCGTCCGTGTGAATACAAAAATTCTATTAGTTAAAATAAGCTTTTTTGACTTTCTAGTTCGAGAAATCAACAGACTTTAGAGGAAAGTTAATAACATACATAATACTAGTACCAATGGGGTCGATGTCGATATCCAGATCAAAGAAAAACAATCATATCCTAGAGTCAAACAGTAGCACAAGGCACGCAGCGATTCAGAGTGAGAAACATGAAACAATCCTTTGCAATCGCAAGTGCAAGCAGTAGCATAAGGCACAAAGGAGTATCTTTAACAATCCTTTGCAATCGCGCGCGCGCGAGAGGTTGAAACCATCCTTGAGTGGGCCAAATTTCTTCAAAGCGATCAGTTCGGAATCATCGAAGTTGCTTTCGAACGGTAAATTTCGATACTCTGGATGGCCAGCGATAGACCCATGTATGTCATTGCAAGATTTTGCAGGAAGGACTATGTACGACCAGGCACCACAGCATCAGCACTGCGTTTCGGATTCGGAGAGATCTGGGAGAGACTAGGAGTTGGGAGCTTGAGAATTTGCGAAGCGACTCGGTTGTAATTGAAGAGGGTCAATCTGAGATGATATCGTTGTGGTTGAATGAGACGCGAGCTGTTGTAGACGACCGATCATTCACAGTTGTATAATTGTTCCGAATGACAATGGTGGTAATATTAAGTTGCGTTGGCCGGATAGCGAAAGGATACCAGGGGAGATCCAGATACGCCTCGATTGAATGAGTCAGAGTCGGAACCAGAACAGGACTCGGTGAGGCTAGCGTTAAGTGGGACAAGCTGGGACAAGTTGGGCGCGAGTTGTGTTCTTCGCGGTTAGGCTGAGAGTCCTCCGACCTGTCAGAATGAGCCACACACATACAGAGCTTGAGTGGGGCTAGACGAAGGCAATTCATAGCACGACCAAACCTGGACCAGACCAATGACAAGGAGAAGAATCGGATGATGAAACTATGGAACTATGCAGCACACAAAGGTTCAGGATAAGTCTCGAGGGTGTTGAGAATCGGAAAGCAGGGTTTTGTCGTTCCACCCGCGATTTCACCAAGCTGAATGGGGCGAGAATCGGAGAGCAACGTTGGAGGCTGGCATCAGTGTTCGACGTAACACCTCGTAACACCCACGATCTGAGCTCCAGCAAACCGTCCAATTGTCAAGTGAAAACGATGTCTGGATGAGAGCCCTGATATCGCTCCTAGTCGTGGTGCAATGAGTCAGAGTCAGGTCAGAGTTATCACCGACTTTCAAACGGCGGTGTTTTTCAACATCATTTTCACCTTGCTTGCACAGTTTGCCACCCCATCTTTACCAATCGCCCGTGCAGTTTTTTTTCACACGCTAGGCGCTTTAATCTCATTCTCTCCGATGTATTTCTTCTAATAGAAGGATTATGGGCAGTTGAAGTGTGGTTAATCTCGCCTTATCCTTAGCTGTCAGACTGAGTTTTTGACTTTCTTCTTTCTTCTAGGACTCTGCTCCAGCAGCTCGCCTCACAGGATCCTATTGTCCTTGCTGTTGCTGTGCACAATATATGTTAAACATTATAATATATTTTTTCGTCCACCAGCTCTTTAGAGCTTCTTTACCTATATTCCAGTGTCAGAGCTCCACCTACTTCCATTGGGACACCTAGTTGACCAGTAGTATGCCCAAAGTATGCTATTTCGGATAGGGCAGGAGCTTCGAAGGCCTAAAGTATGCTAATTTGGGCGAGGAAAATTCCAAAATTGGGGTTTATAGTAAGCTGATTCGGACGGGGTCCCGGGGTCTTTTTTCCCCGCTGCTGTTGGGTTTAATGCAGCCTCATGATCAACAGTATTTGCCTGCTCAAGGAGTTTCGTAACTCCTTCCTCGAGCCTATTGACTTGAGCCTGGAGTATCGCGATGGAGTTGTCGATGTCTTGCTTATTGGGCGGATTTTTGTTTGCGGTGCGCTGGCATTCCCGAATCTGGGCCTTCAATTCTACAATTGTTTTTTTATTTTCCGCAGCAGATGCCCTACATCCCGCAGAAGCTTCCTGGTATGTCATAGTTCGGCGCTCGAGTTCCTCACGGTGTTTGGTAACGGGGAGGATGGCTTCGATGTCAACCTCCTGCTTGCGGTAGTGCTGTGAAGTAGGGAGCAATGAATAACGAATATCAATCCAACGATTGAATGGGGGCTTACCCCATGATGCTCATCTAGGTTGAATTCGACGTCAACAACTTCTTCAGTATGGGGACGATGGTGGTGCTCTACAGGATCCAAGCGATCGTCATCGCGGTGAAGGGAATCCTACGAAAACGATATCATTGGGACCAGAGACAGAATATATTGAAGAAGAAACCGACCGAAAGTTTCAGCTCCTTGTCCTTGTCTTGAACGATGACCGCAAAATCGCGAGTGTTAATCTCTCGAATTGCTGACATTAATGACCTTTCAGCTCCCGCCGGAACATTGGAAGATGTTAACTCACTGTTAACAGGAGCTGGAGAAGCTGCACGGGGTGCCAAGGGAGCAGCGAGTGCGGAAGTGGCAACACCGACAGTAATGACGGTTGTAATCGCGAAACGCACGGATCGAACCATTGTGAATATCAATAGATACTAGGAGATGAGGAAGAATTCTGAAATCGAGTGAAGGGCGTTGATTCTAGTTGTGCGACGGTGTGAAGAGACCAGCTCTGTGGGGGAAAAGATGAGCGGGGATCCAGCCACCTTTTATACTTACAGCCAAGGGGTCTGTAGTGATACACTGATAGGTTTGGACCCGCTTAACAGCTTGACTACAACTGATATGTGTGCCTGCGAGCGTCAACCTTTGACGAAAAAAATCAACCACACGCGTCGAAGGAATGTAGTAGTACCTTGAAGCTGGTTCATATCGGGTCTATGTAGTTCTCTTCTGAAAGTAAGAAGACGAGAACGAGCAGAGTAGCAGTGATCTCCACCAAGTTAGTTTGTTGAACGTAACAACAGGGAACAACAGTCGCCGCCCGACGGGCCTACTTGGTCTGGTGTTTCGAGTTTTGTTGGTAAGGGCTTGCGAATTTTGCCTACCTTATCGGCAGCAGCGAGGATGGTGAGGGATGGAGAGATCTGCATGCAAAATGGGTGGAGCGAACCATTGTTGAATGAACTTGAATCCCAAAGGAGTTTTTCGGAAACAGAGATAGGTTTGGGAGGGAAGATCCCAGCTCTTGTCGTGTGTCCTCAAGTATCTCAGCCCAGCCGTATCAATACATACTCGGCTCGACGAAAATGCGATTGTCGCGATGACTATTCGGATAGGTGATAACATTAGATGAGATTCCGTGCGCAAGGACATTTTGCACTGGTTTTGTACATATTTACAGAGATCGAAACAAGCGATGTGAAGAGCCAGATAAATCAAGGGAAAAGAAGAGGAGGTGAAAGTGACAAAGGTGGGTACAAGAATTATTTATTCACAAAGCAAGGCAAGATTCCACTGGACTGGGTTTTGTGGAACTTTGGGCCTTTGGAAATCGTAGGTAGATAGAATGTACACTCCTTCAATTAATCAACAGGCCTGTATCTGTATTACTAGCATGATTTACATACCGATATGAACACACTAATATGTTCCTTCGACTTCCTCAGTATCCCAAAACTTTCTTGGAGTAATCAGGTGGTTCGCCCGTTGGCAGGACCTGAATTGTCACCAGTTTCAAAGGCTCGTACTGGGCTAGTGTTTCTTGGAATCCACTTCGTGTCAAGCGGACAACTTGGCTTGTGCCGTCGAGAAGTTTGGCGGTGATTTTCAGCTGTATACGATCAACTGGAATACTGTGCAACTCCGGATATTCATTTCTCGCAATGATTATAGCATTCTACAGAGATTAATTAGGAATTAAATCAATTGGACTGAGATACAACAACAGAGCACTTACATCGTATGAGTTTACAGATACACATGCTAGATCTTTATTGTTCTCTCCGAGACGTAGGACTACGAGCTTATTGGTGTTTCTATCCATTGTGGTGACGTGGTCAGATGCACAGAGTTTTGATCTAACGCGTTACTGTTTTAGCGCTAGTACTCAAATCGCAAGCCCTCCCTTTGTACGTCCGCTTGAGCGTTGAACATCAAACAAAACCAGACAGCCAAGAGATACTCAGAGACTGGACAAGTTAATCAAAATTGTGACCTCAAAATGTACTGCACTGGTTCAGCGCTGGTAGGATTTAGGCAATTTAGTCTATCTAGGTCGAGAACAAATCTCTTTCCACTGCAACTCAAAGTCACACTTACAGGTGTTGGTCACCAAATAACAACCAAACTTACTACTTCAGCCTCTGTTACACCGTTTTTCACTTTGAAGACTCCAGGGTATCCCCAATCCGTCGTAGAGCACATCGTCCATGGACAGAGCCAGTGGCGGTCACAGGCGTTCACCCAGTAAATTGACTGCGGTCAATGAACGAGCCAATGGCCATGTTGGATAGAAACAAGTCGATAGAGAGGTTGCTCCCCGGCATCCGATTGGTAGGCGGAAGAAAAGCTGTTCTGCCTAAACTCTGAGAGAGGCGCAGCGATGAAACGGGAAGACAGAATAATTGAAGTGCAAGGTCTGGATCATATTTTGGTAGAGGACGAGAAGACCTGTAGAGGAAAAAATGGGCTGGATCGATTCAAGCCGGGTTCGACGAATCTGATGTTATTAGTAGTTGAAGGCCTTTGAAGGTGTGGTGGAGACCGAAAAGAAAACTTCGATCAGATCATCCCATCGTCAATCGTTGAAGCTGTTTTCTCGTTCTTCGTTCTCATAAGATTTGTAAAGGCAGAACGATGAATCTCAGACCGGGGGAAGATTGCGTGGATAAATGCGTCGCCATGCATGAGTGATTTGTAGTTGCTTGAGTAGGGTGATAGCAGGGAATTACCTCACGGCCAATAAGACGAATGATATGCATTCATGCGACCCAGTGGCTGTCAGTGGGATGATGAGTTTAGCGAAAACCTCAAGTCGAAGACGATAGAATGACAGAGTCGAAAATGGAAAATGGAACGGCGTTGCGTAAAGATTCACTAGAAAGGACGGGCCAGTAGGTTGAATGAAGCTTTAGTAGACGATTGGGAATATATTGGATTTTTGCGAGAAGTTATTCTAGTTGCGAGGTATATTCGTGAATGTGGGCGAGTCGTAATCGAGGGTTGTAATGAGTGAAGCAGGCGTGAAGGGAACTCTGAACGACGCAAAAAGGTCCTGACGTAGCGTGTCGAACAGTCAAACAACGTAGGACTCACTGTTTAAGCAAAATAAATGAGGTTTAGTACTATGTAAAGAAGTTTAAGCAACTCACTATATCACAGCCTTGAACGGTTCCGTTTTCCACATGCCTGATGCTCATTAACCATTCTTTGCTCGTCTTCACTTTCCGAGTCAAAAAGAAACAAAAGTGGTGGGCAAAGCGCCTCGTAGAAAACAACGTGAAAAAACAACTGCAACATTATCATACACCGTTCGGGAATCGAACCCGAGCCGCTTGCTGATCCGAGTGGAAGGCAAGCATGATAACCACTTCACCAACGGTGTACAAATACAGATATTTTGCAATTCATCTCAGCTCAAATCTCACATACTTAGCCTCGTACCTTCAACCCTCATGGACGGCTGGAATTACGACTCCGATGTTATATCCACCTTCAAGCTTTCCAGCAACTCGTGGACCAACTGACGACAGAATCTCCTGAGGCAGGACGATGATGCGGAATTTCGAATATGGCTGATTGGCGATCCTTGTTTAGAGAATGCGATGCTGAGACTGACGAATGACAAGGGCGTTGAGGTAGCTGTGTTGTGGAGGAGTGGAAAGACATGTATTATTAGAAGGGGATGGCGCCAAAAAGAGTTTATGAAGGGAACTCTCTGTAGTGGATTCAGAGACACGGAGCTACACGGAGTGACACGCAGTTGCTACCGTGTTAGTTGTATTTTATATAATCGTATCTCCCGGTGTTTAGGCCGTCAAGCAACCGGCCTCAGACAATGTCCAAGCTAGGATGAAAAAGGAAGAGACAGAGGAACGAAAACGAGTCGCAAGAGGTCGTAAGCGTGCTTATGTAACTTGAATACTTCCTTCTTGAACAAGTTCTCGTTGCTTTGACCATCTGCATTCTGGCCTGACAAAAGATGGCTCTCCGAGTCGTGGTAGCAAGATCCAGCGTGTACCTCAGTAAAAAATAACTCTAGTTAAAACATTCCCTTTGCAACTCGATGGTGTGAATTCGAGCTTGCAAAGATATTTTCACTGAAGTCCACGGAAGGAAGATCTAGAAAGGATTCTATTACGTTCTAAGATGGTCATACCAAGTAAGGAATATGTGGGCGCCATTGCAAATTTAACACACCGCAAGTTTGTCTCTTTCCTTCCATCGCCAACTCGAAATGACGACTCCGAACAGCACGGTGCCCCTCGACGTTGACCATGAGCAGAACATGGCACATGAGAGCCCCGGTTCTCCCGTCGAAGGTCAAACTGACAAAGAAGTCCTTGCATCATCGAACGATGTACAAAACAGCACCAACAGTAATGCGAAACGAAGGTATACCAAGTTTTCATCATCTGTCTTTGCTATATGATCTCACTAAACCTCATTTGCATGCATTAAAGATCTGGGACCCCGAACTATTCAAGCTGCGAGAAAGTCGTGGACAGCGGGTGCTCTGACAATAGGGAAAGTAAACGAATCCGACTGGAAGAAGACGCAAATGCCAATGAACGACCTGACCGACCTGATAGTGCAACCGACGTTCAAATCTCAGAGTCGGTTTTCAATGTCCACGAGTTCATAGAAGAAAAAAACGCAAGGTCTATAATTCCTTTTTTTAATCGTGTCCTTGCAATATCTGACAAGAAACGTTGTTGACTATCTTCAGACAATTGAACCCGCTGTCCTCAGAATCTGGTACTACACCCGAAAATGGAAACGAAGATGATCTTGAATACCTCGCCCTCGCGACCCAAGTCCTCAATGGAAGTCTACCACACGACGCCATTGCCTACATGAACGGAATGCAAGTAGACGGTGGCACGAATGGGGAATCTATCACCAGCGTCCTCCTACCATCGATCCCAAACGTCAATCTTCACACGATCTCACCATTTATATATGGTACACCTCCGGATTGGAAACCTATCAGAATTGCGCGTATCGCTATACCTGTACCTACTTATCTGCTAGAAAAATTGGTCATGGCTCCGCCTTCAAGTCTATCTACGCCGTCTTCGCTTCTGGCAGTGTCTCCTACTCCTGGTTCTAGTTCTGGTTCTTCTCTACCCCTTCCTCCTACCCAAGAACTCGACAGGCCCGCGGAACTTCCTGTTCCCAAGACGGAATCTCACCCTACTTCGGCTTCGAACACCGCTGAATTCGAATGTCAAGAAACCTTTTTACAATCCCCTCCTGTCTCGGCAAGCTCGTGTTCAAGTGCGCCAACTCAAGTCATAAGTACCGGTAGCGGCGATACCTCCGCATCTGTACTCAGCGCATATGATAGCATGAGTGCAAGCTACATGCTTTCTCAGCCCTACGAGCTGAGCGAAAGGATCATAGAGAAAATGGAAGCAGGGGAAGACAATCGTACTTCACTGAAGATTCGACACGTTCCGCATTCGGTAACCATAGACCAATTGGAGGAGATGATCAAAAACGTAGTCGGGCCTCGGAAGATTGACTTTCTCCATCTCCCTCGGTTCAAGAATGGCGGTGAGTATTCGTTCGTAGCTACTTATTTCCAACTTTCGAGCTCGGAATACTCACTATGTGTCATTTATTGCGCTGATAGACAATGTTGGTTATGGATTCGTCAACTTCATCCATATGAAAGATCTCGTGTCGTTTGTCAAAAAGACTGAAAATATCAAATATGCGGGAACGAAGACGGAAGTTCAATTAGGGATCGCGACTGTACAGTGAGTCCAGAGTTTTTCCACATCACTCGCGATATCTTTCTTTCCTCGTTCGTCAGCCAGTTTCTCATGTATTGATGGACCTATGCAGATCGAAGGAAGAACTTATCCAAAAGCATTTCACTCTTTACAACCCTGAAGAATGGCAAATTAGGATCTATCACTCTGATGGACCGTATGAAGGACTACTAGAGGGAACTCCAGTTGACAATGCTGCACAGGAGTGTGATCCTGTTACTACCGAAGGACAAGTCGAACAAAACAGTGAAAGCACCACCACTCCAATCATTTCGGCGCTGGTGGAACCATCCGGGCTTCTTCAATCTGAGGCTACTACTTATTCGATTCAATGTCTCTCATCTCCGACGCCGCCAGAAGTTGACTCTTCGTCAAGCCACGAGTCTAGTACGGATGTTGAGCGGCCAGAAAATCTGGTGCAACCACCCGCATTATCCAGAACATTCAATCCTCTCGAGCTGGACATTGACAAAATCAAGGCAGGCAAAGATGATCGAACTGCCATCATGTTCAAAGATGTGCCTCCAGAAGTGACCGGACAATATCTAGAGCAAATCATCACAGAGGTTTGTGGTGCACAGAAGATTGATTTTCTGTATCTCCCTGGGAAGGCTCCGAATTTCGGTGAGTATTTCCCGCTAATTATTTGCAAAATCTTTCTCCTTATCCTGTTTCAGTTACCAATGCGGGGTATGCCTTTGTCAACTTCATCCAGGTCGAAGATCTTTTGCAATTCTCGCAGCAGATGTCGAACCAGCTCTGGTTAGGACTCTTCTCTGGCTATTAAGATTGAAATCTTGGTTGAAAATTCGTGTGTAACAGGTCTCCAGAATCAACAACCGTGGTGAAATTTGCATATGCAACTCTGCAGTGAGTAGCTTGCTGGTTAAAGCAACAATTTAAGTACTTACACTCAGTCAACCTGGTTAGAACCAAAGAAAAATTTGTTCGAAGATATTGCATCAACAAACTCTCTCGAGTAAAGAGCACTGTTCCTCAGGAATGGCAACCACGGTTGTTCCATCCAACTGGTCCTCAGCAAGGACTACCAGAAGATTTGCCTGGGCTGGAAGATCCTCAATACATCCTTTCTTCACCTCAAACCCGGAAATATGAGGTTGTTCAAGAAGCTCTCGCAGGCAATATAGGTAATCTGCTCAAAGAAAAGCCTGGAGATGTGACTGGATTGGATTTAGGAGATTTTTTCTGATATGACAGTAGAACTTGAATTATAGTCAAGATTCTGTATCCTTGATTGAGTTGTGCAATAGTGTATGTTTAGTTTAGTTGTGTATCAATTTTAGCTCAGCCAAGTTGTTGCACATGTGCATGGTGGGCTCCAGCAGAGGGGGGAGGTTCTGTAAGGCCATGAAGGGAAACATCATTGGTTAGCTTTGGTTAGCACTCTAGCATTCATCTTATTTTCTTCCATAGTAATAGCTTACTAGACCATTCATCCCCATGTAGAGCTTCTTCAAATGTCAGTCAATGACAATGTTCAAAATATTTATTACAAGCAAGAAGTTGTAGATATCAAAAAAAACTTTACCAAACATCCATGACCATTAGGGCATATATACAATTCATTTTCTGCTGGCTCATATTTCTCGTGGTCCGCCAGCGGATTTATCGCTTGGAGTATCGACTTTTGTCCCAGCAATCTTTGTCGCTTTCCTTCATTTAATCGTTCTCTTGCCATACCATACCAACTAAACGACTCGGAACAATATAGTATAGGGCATTGATAATTGAATTCAACGAGTCTGTCGTTGATACAGTTGACACCCGGCGTAGGAAACATGAGCTTGGACTGCTCGGAAACCGACACGAACATTGCAGCAAGTGTTGAAGACTGATACATGCATTGAGGAATGGAGCATGAGCAAGCGATTGGGTACTCACCAATGATCTATGAATTAGCGTTCAGTCTTTTCGTGTATGGTATTGTTGGAACTTTTAAGATCCTTATATACACCAAATGAACAAGGTATATCCCTAATTTGGAGCATAGAGGCTTCCTCCACTTGAATTTAGCAAGGGAGCACCTCAAGCCACAGACACAGATCTGTACAGGCAACCCCCGGGCCTGAAGGGAAAGCAGTCTTTCAACAGCGTTTGAATCAGTCCGTGCCTTGAGCGGCTTCAAGAAGTTCTCAACGAAGGGAGAAATTCTTTGTCGCCGTTGGTACCGGGAATTGGCGTTAGTCATCAGTGAAAATTTCGGTTCACCGTAAACCAAACACAATCCGAAGGAAAATTTTCGCTGGTCCGTGCGCAGTTTTGCCGTATAAAAGGTCCAGAGTTTCGCCGTTGAGGGCCTAACTTTCCAAAATCTTCTAAGTCCACAACAATGTCGACAAGCCGTACCACCACCATTACCCAACCTTCCGTGAGCACCTCAACCCGCCCCGCCGATCCTCCGAGTCCTGGCGCTCCTATCGACGAGGATGAAGACGAGATCCTCAGGGAGGCCCTGGCAAGGGTTGAACGAGTCAAGGCGAGGAAAGCAGCAGAGGCCGCCAAGAAGAAGGCAGCAGAAGAGGTGGCTGCGAGGAAGGCAGCAGAGGAGGCAGAGAAGAGGAAACGAGCGGCGGCACAGGCGGCGGCGGCCAGACATCAGGCTGCTCAAGGTGCGCGCGACCGGGCCGTTCGGGCTCGAGAACAGGAGGACGAACTCGTCGAGCGGAGGAGGAAGCTGGCAGAGGCTGCGACAGCCAGAAGTCAGGGAGGAAACTCAATGGGGGATGTTTCTGCGTCGCCGAGAAGGCCGATTGTAGAAGTATCGCGGTTGAAGAGTAAAGGGAAAGGCAAAGCCAAGGTTCAGGTGCGTCCTCTTTTTTACCATTAACTCTTGTCGCTAACTTATTCCCTTTCAGCCCGTTGGTGAGGACCCCGACGACGATGACGATGATGATGAAGAAGACCAGTAGCGTAATCTGCAAGCCCTGCCACGATTCAAAAGTGCGCTGTTCGTACTCGGGTCGTCCGTATGTAGTGAAGAAGGAGGGAGGACCAAGTCCGAGCGGCGAGCGCTTGGCCGTACTCGAAAGTCAGATGGCGCAAATCCTCGCCGACAACCGGGCCTTACGAGAGGCAAATTCGAAAACTCAGCAGTACCTTCGTCAGCTGCTGAGAAGGCAAGAGGACGATCATACGCGCCTCATAGCCATGGACACTAGGATGTCCTTGATGGGTATGGGGGAAGGGCCGGTAATGGCAGGACCGTCGAGACGGATTGCCGAGCGGCGGCGACCGCTGAAGTGGCGGAGGATTATTGAGGAGAGTGACGAGGAAAGGGAGGAAGAAGGAGAAGAAATGGAGGAGAGGGAGAAGGAGAGGGAGAAGGATGGAGAAGGAGAGGAGGAGGGGATGGCGCCGGCCGAGGCGCGAGCGGATAAAGGAAAGGGGAAGGAAGTGGTAGAGTAGTAGTATTGCGGACATCGGACTTCAGCTCCTCGGCTTTTCTTGTAACTTCTTGTAGCCTCCTGCCCTGTTGTACACACATTTTTTTTGATTTTTTGTTTGTATAAAAATTATTATCACATCTTGAAATTGGAAAGCGAATGGGCCGCGAAACGGCATAAGAAGTAATTAGTTCAAAGTATAATTAGTTTAAGTGTGAAAGAATTATAAGGGAAATAGTAGATTGAAGAATGAGATGAACAATTAAGAGAGAGGGATAAACACTCAATTTACTATCATCGTGTTTACCTAAACGCACAAAGTAAACTTCGGCGGAGCGCGGCAGAAAATGGAGAAAGGAATAAAATGATTTTTTGTGATCAAGGTCCAGGTTTCAAAGGGTAACAAGCGTGGAATGCGGGTACCAGTTCGTCAGCATGTAATTCATCAGCAGCTACCCAAGAGAATTCATCGTCGGTACCTTCATAACCGGCCCACCGAATATAATAACGTAGAGGACAACGTTTATACCTTCTGTCCAGCTTGGAGTCGAGGATTTCGGCAACGTTGTACTCCTCTTCACCATCAACTTCGATTGGAGGTGGAGGAGATTGAGTACGATTCGGGAAAGGATTCGGCGTAACTGGCTCCAGCTGTGAGACGTGGAAAACCGGATGAATGCGGCGAAGATAATCTGGGAGCTTAAGCTCGTAGGATAGAGTACCAGGTCGACTGATGACCTTGAAAGGACCAAGATATTTTTCTGAGAATTTTTCAGTAGGACGAGTAGAGCGAATGTGCTTAGCAAGAACAAATACTTCGGAGCCGATCGGGAACTCCGGGTGCGAGATTCTCTTCCTGTCAGCTTGTTCCTTGTAACGGGATTGAGCTAAGAGGATTTCCTCTCGAAGGAAGGCGTGGAGTTCATCGAGATTGACGACAAAGTCTCTGGCTAGATCAGACTTCATATCGACCTCGGGCCGAACGGTGATGTTAGGGTGGTATCCTTTGTTAGCAAAGAATGGAGTAATACCAGTGGAAGCATTGGGAGCGTTGTTATAGGCGAACTTGGCGATCGGAAGTAAAGGCGACCAGTCATCTTGTTGGTAGGAACAATAGATCCTGATGTACTGCTCGAGAGTCTGATTGACACGCTTGGTCTGCCCATCGGCTTCCGGATGATATCCAGAGGTATAGTGAAGTTCCATGGAGAGCACTTTACCGAGAGCCCGGAAGAACGCCGAAACAAATTCGGAACCACGATCAGAAGTAACATGATTAGGAACACCATGCTTAGAGAAGACGTGAATAACAAAAAGCTCAGCTAGTTGTTTGGAAGTAATGGTGTCGTGAGTTGGAATAAATATAGCTTGCTTGGAAGATCGATCCACGACGACAAGGATAGCGGTGTAACCATTCGACATTGGCAGTTGCTCAATGAAGTCCATGGAGATGGAATCCCATGGTCGGACCGGAACCGGCAGAGGTTTCAACAAGCCGTAAGGCCGATGACGGCGGGGCTTATTGCGACCACAAATAGTGCAGGAGGTAACGTAGTCACGAACAAAGTCTCTGACCTTGGGCCAGGTGTATTGACGACGTACAGCTTCCAGAGTGCGGTTCTGGCCAAAATGGCCGGAGAGTGGATGATCATGGAAATAACGGAGGACTTGAAGGCGAAGGTCGCCGTGATTCGGAACATAAATACGGTCGTCCAGGCGTAGTAGCTTGTCACTACCTAAGCTCCAACGTTCATTGGAAGGATCTTTAGCAAGTTCCAAACCAGCAACGGAGCTCGGATCGGCGGGAAGGGCGAGAATGATAGCTTGGTGTAGGGCTTCGATATCCATGATAATCGAGGCTCGTAAAACCGGACCTTCCAGGAAGGTAGCTCGAAGAGACGCAGTGAGTTGTTTGTTAGTAAAGATAGGGCGAAAGTTATGAGGGTTCACTTGGGCGTAGCCGATATCCCCCTCTTTAGGGTAGACGTCCCAGCGTCTAGTTATTGAATCAGGTTTCTCGCCGAGTTTCCCCGGTCGGAAGCGAATGACCATATTAAATTGATGTAAAAATTCAGACCATCGGACCTGTCGGCGTGTGAGATCCTTGGTAGTAGAGAAATACTCAAGATTCTCGTGATCGGTGACGACGTCCACCGGATCACCCGATCCTTCCAGATAATGACGCCAAGCTTTAAAGGCCTCGAAGATGGCCAGTAGCTCTTTGTCGTGGGTATCGTAGTTGAGTTCAGCCGCGTGAAGCGTTCTGGAAAGGAAGGCTAGAGGATGAATTTCACCGTCAGCATATTGGATGGAAAGAATAGCCGCAATGGCGTAATCGGAAGCATCGGTCTCCACGATAAGTGGGCGATTCGGCTCCCAATGGGCCAGTATCGGCGCAGAAGTAAAAGCAGTCTTGAGATTTTCGAAGGCCTCTTGACAGCTGCTGTCCCAGATCCAGGACGCGCCTTTTTGGGTAAGCCGAGTCATCGGCACAATGATATCGCTATAATTATAAATAAAACGACGATAGAAATTTGCGAAACCCAGGAAGGACTGAATGTCCTTAACCTTCCTCGGAACCGGCCACTCTAGAACTGTCTGAACTTTCTCCTTGGACATAGTCAATCTGTTGGGAGAAAGAATATAACCCAAATACTCAACAGTATCCATATTGAATTCGCACTTGTTGGGGTTGGCGTAAAGCCGATGTTTCCGTAACCGCCGAAGAACCTCCTTGATGTGTTCTCGGTGTTCTTCTGGCGTATCAGAGTAGATTAGAATATCGTCAAGATAGACGATGACACAAACATCGAGCATGTCAGAGAAGATGTCATTAACAAACCTCTGGAAAGCCGCAGGGGCGTTCGTAAGGCCAAACGGCATAACCTTCCATTCGTAAGAGCCGTAACGGGTCCGAAAGGTGGTCTTCCATTCATCACCTTCAGCGATTCTGACCAGATGATAAGCGTGAGCGAGATCCAATTTGGTGTATATTTTAGCTCTTTTCGGAGCGTCGAGAAGATCTGAAATGAGTGGGAGTGGGTAACGATCCTTTTTGGTGATACGATTGAGTCCACGGAAGTCGACGCACAGGCGAAGCTTGCCGTCTTTCTTCAGGACAAAAAGGACCGGAGCGCCGTGAGGAGAGGATGAGGGGGTGATGGCACCAGTAGCCAGCAGTTTGTCAATAAAGTCTTTAAGGGCGACTAGCTCCTGTTCAGACAAAGGATAAATACGGCCGAGAGGCGGCGAAGCGCCTTCTTCCAAGTCAATCTTCAAGTCGTAGGGTCTGTGTTCAGGAAGTGAATCTGCAGCAATCTCGTCGAAGACGTCTGCGAACTCTGCGTACTCTTCTGGGATAGAAGGATGGAGTGGAGGGACAGTAGGAGTGGTGGAAGAGCGGTCGGCGGCGCGGGCCGCGACCTCTGAGTGGATAGCACGAAGGAGAATGGGTTCCCTACCAGCGTCCTTGCAAGCCCTGTTAAAGACTGCAGCACTGACGAGTGCAATGTCGACCTCAGGAGTTTCCAGTTGAGCAGCGAATTGAGAGACCGTAGGGTAAGAATAGATGGGTTCAAAGGGGAATTTAGACGAAAGGGGCTTGGCCCGTAACGTCCGAGAGCGGGAGCGAGAGCGAGAGCGAGGTGAGTCCCCAGGAGGGGTCTCCAGAATTGTCGGTGAAACCGACGGCGAAGGTTCCGGTAGCGGAACAGCGACCTTTGCAACAACGGGGTTGATAGCAGAAGGCACAGACGTCTGTGGAGAATCAGGATGTGAAGTGTTACGGAACGTAATGTTTTGAGATGCCCAGTCAATCAACGGATTGTAGCGGGATAAGAAACTGTAACCTAATACTGCTTTACAAGATGAATCTAAATGAGTAACATAAAAGGGTAATAGAAGCAGCTCGCCGGAAGGGAACCGAACGGCGATATTCGCCATATCGGTAATGGGTTTAGAAGATAATGAACCATCAAAGAGACGAAGATTAACAGGAGAGATTTTGGTTGTAGGAATGGAATTTTGTGAAACATAACGAGTATCGATGAAAGAGTCAGTAGAACCAGAATCAACAAGAGTAGGAAATTTAAGAAGAGCAGAGATGGGTTCGGCCGGCGCGGCCGAATCGGATAAAGGAAATTCAGTAGTTAATGATATTACAAGAGATCGTTCAATAGAAGAAAGAGCGGACGCGTTGAGATATAACTCCCCAGGTGAGGTACGAACCTGATCAACGCAGCTCCCGTTTCGTACCGGGGAACAAGAGCTGCGGACTAGTTTTCCGATTCCTCTTCAACAACCTCAACGGTTGCTTCGGGGGTTTCTTCAACCTCGGCAGCACGGCCCTTCGATTCCCGGGCCTTTCGCTTATTGCAGTCAGCAATCTGATGCTTACCACCGCAGAAGAGACAAAGGTTGTTCTTCATCCTTCTTTCCTTCTCGGAGGGAAGGACTTTCCCATCTGCACCAAGATGGTTGAACGCGGGGCGCTGACCGCCGGATTGGCCGGAATTCAAAGAATTCTGGGGCTTACCATTGTTGTTAGGCTTACCACCAGAGAAGGGTTTAGGCTTCGGCGTGAACGGCGCCGAAGAGCCAGAAGGCTGAGAATTGTTATGCTGGTTAGAAGAACCAGTCTTGAAGTCCGAGGAACCCTTCTTCGGGTTCCGAGCAACAAAAGGCTTACCAGCCTCACGCTTTCTAGTTTCCTCGCGTTTCCAATAACGATTGTCAATACGAAGAACTTCTTGACGATAATCGGCGAGCGTCGCCGGTTCGGGCAAACGCGCCATTTCGTCCTTGATGCGCTCAGCTAAGCCTCGTCCATAAGCCCATTTCAGGGCAGCAGAATCCCAGTTGGTACTAGCAGCCAGGGTGTTGAACCGGATGTTGTATTTCCGGATGTTCTCGGTTTCCTTCATCTTCAGATTACCGAGAGAATCTTCGGCCTCGCCTTGGGCGTCGTAAACGCCGAAATTGTCCTGAAGCTCCTTTACAAGGGCTTTGAAGGAGGATGTCCAGGCCGGCAGTGAGTCAAGATCCGGGTCGAGAATATCAGGGACGAACCATTCTTTGGCTGACCCACTGAGATAGGACAGGGTGTAATTCACCTTCCGTTGGTTGGTGAAATACTTTGGACGGTCATTAAAGACCAGGGCGAGATTGACGAAGAACGTCTTGAGTTTTCGGGGGTCCGAACCGTCGAATACCTCTGGCTCCTTGACCTTGCTCTTGGATTCAGAGCTGTCAGAGGGACGGCCGAGAGCGGCGAGGACGGTACCGAGGGTTTCAATGGAACCCTTGAATCCCGAGAGAAGTTCCAACATAGCTCGTTGCTCGTTGGGGATGTCAGGAGAGATTGGAGAGCGGGGTCCACTAGGTCCACCAGGACCGCCGGGACCGCCGGGACCACCAGGACCACCAGGTCCACTGGGGTCACCAGGCTCACCACGCGGTAAACCGCCGGAGTCGTCATCCAGATCGTCATGATTGTTGTCGGCGCCCGGATCGTCGGGGTCGACAGGAGGGTCTTGATCGTTGTGATCACCAGTGTCCAAATCGAAGTGAGGAGGTGGGTCACGAGGAGATTCAGAAGCAGCACGACGTTGGGGTGGTTTCCCAGTACGGCGGGCTATGGCTTGGAGAATTGGAGAATCAATTCGAGTAGTTGAACGGCCCCGAGCCGGAGCGACCACGGGGGGTTGTCCACGGTGAGGGGTCAGGACTTGGACAGGTTGTCCGTCACCAGTGTACAAGGTGCTGTACTCAAATTGTTGTTCTTCTTCCATGGCTTCAGGAAGAGTCGACGTAGTAGGAACAGTGGCTGGACCGAAACCGCGATTACGGCGACGTGGTTGACCGATGGCAGAGATAAAATCGGAGAAAGGGGCAAATGATTGAGCTGTGGTGAAGAAAGTGTTTTCTTCGGAGTTAGCTCTAGATTGAGCTCGAGTTTTCGGAGGCATAAAAAATGATATGTCAGTACGACGTTAACGGATTGAGTTTAATTATACTGTTAAGATCATGTACACCGTGTAACCGTGCCAAAGCTACAAGGTGTCTAAGTGCGGAAGACAAGAGGGACAGTAGTGAAGTTATTAACAACACCGCCGTTACGCCGTTAGTCCCCGGAGATCGAGAGTAGAGAAGGGAGGAACTGAGAAGCAGCCAGGTCAGAGCGGCGGTATCGCCGGTGACGAGGAGCGAACCAGAGAACGTTAAAGTCCTAAGGTTATAGTAGAGAGTACTCCAAGGCGTTGAGCCTGAAGACTTAGAGAGGAGTTAAGTTGGGAAGGGAGATCTAAGTTGATAATTAAACTGAGGAACTACAGTAGCGTACAGGCAGTATTTATATCTACGGAACGGCGCATCGGTGCGGAGCGCCAGACTAACTACTAGGAGCTATACGAGTAGTACCTGCAGGGTAGAGTAAAAGACAATAAGGAGAGACTAGAACGAAAGAGTAAAGACAATAATGAGAGACTAGAACGAAAGGATATGTGTAGCGAGAAAGAACAATAAGAGAAAGATTACAATAAAGGTAGATCTTCGGAATACCGAGCGGCGGGATGGAGGCCCGAGGCATGGACTTGACAGACGTCCTGACTTCACCTGACAGAAGGGGGGCTCTAGAGTATCCAATGGTAACACAGGGTAACACTCACAGAAAGTGTTCAAGTTCTTGAGTTTATGCTATAAGGGTGTCACCTGTCAAATGACTATTTGGTCTGTACTGGTCCTTATAAGTCCTATGTAACATCGGAAAGTTCGAACACTTCGCTTCCTCCCTCCTCGTTAGTTCGGCACTAGTCCAGTGAGTTTCAAAGAGAAATGTACACCAGGTGAATTCATGTTCAATGATCAAAGAGACCAAAGAGAGTTACATTGGTTCAATTCGTACATACTGCTTCTGCCGGGAGAAAGTGGAAGACCCTCCACATGCACTGTTTGAATGCATGGCAAATGCGGACCTGATAATGCAGAGGAATTGCTTCATGTGCAAAGTGACTTCAGAGCTTCCACAGTACGCCACGTTTTACTCAGATTCATGGGTATTGTTTAGGGCACTTCTGGCAGAGAAGAAAGTGATAGAGTTGTTTGCAAAGTTTGCACATGAGGTATTGGGAATATTTTATGCCACAGAAATTGTCTATTCAACATAATTCAGCATGCACTACTGAACTGGGAAAGGGTGTATTGTTAATGCCAAGGGAGGGCAGGATAACTTCAAGCATACATTACGACCCCCATAATAAGAGTGTGTGTTCCATAGCTGTACAGGAGACATAGATGCATATGTAAATGTACAGTAGTATGGTAAACTGGTTGTTCGAGCAACGGACCTCGCCAGTATAATTTATATCCTATCCTATCCTATCCTGCTCATGGGTAAGGTAGGTACCATTCATCCTCTCCTGGAATGTACTCTTCATACATGATCGGTGGCGCGTCCCCAATTTCATGCTCGACATCCAAACCTGCGAAGCTGAAAAGTTAGTTTAGGATTGGCATTGAAAATGATCAAGTATATTTCCGGACCTTGAATGAATTCCTTGAGTTTCGTCCTGGCCTCCTGTACTCTTTGTTGAAGCGCAGGAGTGGTGTATAGGGATTTCGGAATGTCGACTTTATTCCCGCCTCCGTCTCCGGTCGATTGTCCTTGGAACAGGTTCTCGGGCCAATCACAAATGGTGTCGACCGCCCAAGAGATCCACACTTCGTAGCTGTACCAATCGTGCTTCGGGTTCACGTCTGGTCGTTTGAGCTGTGTTTGGTTGATCTTGAGCTTCTCTATAAGCCAGTTGAGGTATTCGATAGATTGAGCCGTGTGAGAAGTTTCAAGTCACCACTGTCACGCCCTTTTTTTGACCTCGGCCCAGCGCCAACCGACGCTGATCATTGTTATCACCGACTCTGAAGGAGGAGGTCCTTGTAGGTTTCAAACGGCCTTGTTTTTCCAGATCATTCTGCAAATATATTGAGCCGTAGTACTGGGTTGAGTATGATGTCATCTGATGATCATTGGTTGTATACTTACCTGTTACAGTAGTGGAGCCGTAGATTTGTTTTGCTTGGTAAATTGTCATGTGGCATTGGCAGTAATAACCAAGTAGCGCCGACAAGCGGCATAGCCCACTACCATAGGTTGCAACCACAATTTAGGTACTCATAGCTAAACATAGTATTATATAGAGTCTCTGGAGCAGAGTAATAGTGTCAGACCCGAATACAACCAAGGATGATAGTCCATGACATCCAGTTGCAGCAGTAATTCCCGTACCTCCTTTGGTGGATTCAACCTGAGAATGCTTGCGCGGTCCCAGCAAGATTTCCTTGTCATACCCAGTGATGGCCCGTAATTGCTGTCACTATAAGCCCATGAGATGAAAACCTTGGTAAACATGGGAATACTGACTGGTCAAAAGCACGCAGGTGACTCAACGCAGCAACACCGATACGGTAATGAGCTTGCCTCATTTTTGTGTGAAAGAGAAAGGAAGGAATCAAATGGGCACTCCAACCAACCAATCCAATACACAATATGTGAGTTCACTGCTATCAAATTTATCTAATAACAAGGGGTAGCATTGTCAAAGGTTCCGCAAAGTTTTGAGAGCTAGGGAAAAGCTTTGATCAATCAATTTGAATTGTTCTAAGGATTCGGTATATTCCTTTGATCAAGGTAGATTCAGCACGATTGGTACTTTAATTGTATTGATATGGGTATATCAAGGTTTGGGGGTTTGAATCAAAGTAAATTAAAACCGAAACACACAAACCCCTATGGAGAGCTAGAACTATGTGCTGGCACAACCACACAGTGTGATTTGCTCTTAAGACCAACAACTGATCCTAAGTTTGAAGAATACCCAACAGCTGGATATAACTTCTCGCAGTCACAAGGAGCAGAACACAATGTTTCTATACTCACAAGTGCTGGGCCTGAATGGCTGCTAGTGAAGAGGTTTCAGTCTGGCAGGAGTGTATCTTTCCTTTTTATGGATTAGCACTGCAACATCATCCCAAAATTGCTTGTATTCCAGATACATCAGATTGCTATTTAAACATACAGGATATAGAGTCGCACAGTACAATTAATTTAATAAAATAAATGTTCGGAACCACAAGGAAACTTCTACAAGAGGTCAGATATTATTTAATGTGAATTTACTTGTTCTTGTTTGGTCCATATTGGTTCCAAGATTCTAGTATACCTCCAAACATAGGTAGGTACTTCAATATTCATTTAATTTAATTGCTTTGGAGAATGACTTGAATGGTGTTCAGCTGTCATTGATGCTCAACACTTTCTTCAATCGTTTGTCACCTCGTCCAGAGGCAAATCAGCTCTCCTTGTTTCTAATCCTATCAATCTGATTCATCTGGATTAAACTAATTACTTCTCTCTTTCAATAGACACCCATTGTGCCTATACTCCATCAAGGGAGTTATGCATAGTTTTCATTTAATTGTATTCTTCAATATTTTCTACATCAGGACTCTTTGACATTCATTTGATATGTCTTCGGAGCCTCACAGTACTTCAATCATTTTTCTAGTCATTTGCCTCAACCATGTAACCTGATTGGTCTATTAGACTAAATTGCAGTCTTTTAGATTAATGCATGATCTCGTTCTAGAAGGAGTATTTGACAATTCCTGAGTTCTAGAAAGTCATTTTGAGTCAATCCTTGGCTCATGGTTACTTGAGTAAGTTCCAAACTCCTGCCAGTGTAAGGTCCAATAAGAATACCCTTGGTATGTCATACATGAATGGTCATCCTTCGGATGTGGTCCGAGTCTGGTATAATCCTGCTTGACAAACAGGTAGACTTTTATCCAAAGGTAGTATCGGGGATGGGTAAACTAACCAACTTGTGGTAGTTATTGGATTATTACTTCATATGCTTGCTTTGGTACGTGTGATTATTGTTCCGGCCACTGAACTCGACTCTACTCCTATTTACTCGATCACCTTATATACTTGATATTATTGTTTGCACTCCCTCAGTTGTTTTCCCTATCAACTGAGGTGAGATTACTTATTTTTCTTTCCTTCATATAGCTTTACTAAAGTACTATAGAGCTCATTCAACAGGTACTTAGAAATGCTAATTTAGTTGTTTTCCCTATCAACTGAGAGCTCATTCAACAGATTATGAGACTGGAGTTCAACTGAGCTTAGGAGACAAACTCACATATTTATTACAGTCAGTTATCATCCTTTATCTTTGAAGCTATGTCCTCCACAGCCAGTTCGCTGTCAATCCCGTGCTTCCCCAAATCATCTCAATTGGCTGGCGAAAATACCTGGAGAATTTTCAAAGACCAAGTCCTCGCACACATTGAAGTTAGGGAATTGGAAGGATATCTTGACGGTACTATTATTCGACCTCCTGCCGGTGGCTATGTCTCCACATCTACATTGTACCCTCCTGCCTCTACAACAACACCAACGTATAGCCCTACCCCTTTCCCACATGAATGGCGCCAACGCGATAGGATGGCAGCCAGTATTATATATCTCAACATCGTCGATCCCGTCGGGCTAGGTGTTGAACGCGAAAAACCTGCGTATCATATCTGGGCAGAATTAAAGAAGTGACAAGACTGTGCCTACAGGTCAATAACTATAGCGGTTCTGAGGTCAGATATGGGCCGGAAATGGCCCGGGATAACTCCGAGGTCCGGAGCTCGAGTACTGGCCTGTAATACACACTGGGAGTGGGACGTCGGTGAAGCTATTAGCAACACCCTTCACACACTGTTGTGTCCCCGGGAATATAATGGCAAGGATATAGTGTCAAGATGAGTAGCCTAGATGGTGTTCCTGTGATCCGGGAGTCCGGAGCAGCTCGGAAGCAAAGGTAAAAGAGATATTAAAGAGTGGGATAAGGTGGTACACTTGATTTCAAGCTTGACTACAATGTACAAAGTATTCTAGCTTATATACATCCCAAATACAGTAGTCATAAGACCTCGATGAAAGCTCGGAATAATAAATAAGTCACAAGGTAATTATTCCGAAGTCCGGCCGCTCCAGGCCGGGCCGGGAAGCGTATGGGGTGAATTGCATGCATATGACAAGAAGAAATGTGAGAGACGAGACGAGATGTGGGTACATCAGGCCAATACCAAACTCCGGTCTGCTCGATTTGACCCCAGTAATACGACGATTGAAGAGCATGAAAAGACTATGAAAAATCACCTTAAAGAACTCCGAAACTTGGGTGGTTCCTGCCTCGACTCCCAATTCCGCCTCATTGTAATCGCCTCAATGCCTAAGTCATGGAGAGATCTCTTAATCAATGTCAAGGGAATCTCGAGTGACGATGCCTTCATTCACCTTCGCCAAGTCTATGACAACAAAAAGGAAGACGAGGAGGATACCCGACAGCGTAGTCAGGTCCGGGCTCTCATTGCTCAGGAAATGGCTTCTTTCCACTCTGCAAATACTGCATCTGCTCCCAAGAAGGATCGCCCTACCTGTACAAATCCTAACTGCCCTCCTTGTCGACGTCGTACTCATACAGTTGACAAATGTTGGGCACCTGGTGGCGGTAATGAAGGGGGGACCTAAGAAAGCCGAAGCCTCAGCAACTCAAACCGCAAATTACACTAGTGACGGTGGAAATCGTACCATCATGGAACTTTTCGATTTGTGTACATCGTCACCAACACCCATTCTATCTACCCAACTTCCTAATGCCCATACCTGCAGAGACTGTGTATCAGTATCAACAGGGTATGGTGCAGATAAAGAGGTTACGTACCATGTAGACATGTTCAATTCCTCCATTTCCGACTCGATTCCAAACCTTGATGAATATACTGCTTGTTCAGCCCATAATGCGAGATCTTTCCTATATGCTGCATCCAAACCTCAGACACCTCAAACTTTTCTTGACTCAGCTGCGAGTGATCACTTCTGGGTTCAAAGAGCTGACTTTATCGAGTATGAGAACCTATACGGAAAAGCGGGGAAGTCAGCCATTGCTGGAAAGGCAGGGGAATTTGAGATTCATGGGAAAGGTATCATGGAATTCGAGACGGCCATTAATGGGATAAGGAGGAGATGCCGATTGAACAACGTCTTTCATACGCCATCCTTTCATCACAATCTAATTTCATTAAGGACATTAGATGCTAAAGGAATGAAAGGGGAATGGGGTAGAGGATCACTCACTGTACGAACTCCAAACGGAAGTGTTGTTATGCAGGGCAAAGGAAAGGGAACGATGTATGAGGTACAAACTAACTTCGAGCCCTCATTCGCAAACTTCGCAAGATCACATAATAAGCCTGTCGACATCCACACATGGCATTGCAGACTTGGGCATCCCGCTATTGATTGAATCCTTCAAATGCACAAACTAAATCTGGTCAATGGCTTGCAAATCACTTCTAAGAAAGTGGCCGGTAAATGCGAACCATGTATTCTTGGCAAATCAACTCACCGACCTTTCGATGAGAAGCTCACACATGAAACCAAGGTTCTTGAACAGATACACCTTGACCTTTTCGGCCCAACGCGAACACAGAGTATCGGGGGGGCTACATGGATGCTTCTTGCAACAGATGGTCGTTCCTCTATCAAGGCCCCGACATTCCTAACCAATAAGCGAAAGGAAACCGTTTTGACGGCGATTCATGACTGGCGTACGATGGCTGAGCGACAAACAGGCTTGAAGGTCTTGATATTCCGAATAGATGGAGGTGGAGAATTCGATAATGGGTGGTTCAGGGATTACTGTCACGAAAATGGTATCATTATTGAAATAATACCACCTAGGTCTTTATCAGCTAATGGAGTAGCTGAAAGAGCAAACAGAACTGTTCTAGATGGAGTCAGGACCTTTCTCGTTGACGCTGGTTTTCCTCCTTCGATGTGGGCCAAAGCAGCACTCACCTTCTGCTATGTGAATGCGTTTATCCCCTCCTCTCATTTCCCAGACGAGGTACCAATCGAAATTTATACGAAGAAATGTCATGATGTCTCTCATCTCCGACCTTTTGGTTGTAAGTGCTGGGCAACACTTGATGCAATCCAGACCAATGGAAAACTCGGTGTTAGAGCAGTTGAAGGGCGATTTGTCGGATATATTGGACGACGGGGCTATCGAATCTGGCTACCACAGACCAGAACTTTCCACGAATCTCGCAGTGTCGAATTTGAAGAAGGCGACCCTCGTAGATCTACACCCGCGGTACCAGATGAAGTTGATGGTGAGATGCTTGGTGATGTCGACATCGGTTCGGCTCCAGATGCCGTGCCTGTTCCACCAGCTAACAAAAATCAAATTCAAAATTCAGACTTATCCGTTCCCTCAATGCCTACTACTCCGTCTACGCCTAATTATGAAGGGCTTCCTGAATTATTCGCACCTCAACCTCCTCCTGCTCAGCCCTTACAACATGGTCAAATACCTCTTCAGCCCATTCATGAACCTGAGATCGGTCCTAGACGCGGTACTCGT